TTGAATTCTTCAGCGGTAGTTTAATAAAATAGATTGTTGAATGCTATGAATCAGAATGATGGTTTGAAACACATACTCCATTTTACAGGCGCCAACTCGCGAAACCACTCATAAAAGAAGCACCGAAAATTTTGCAATTGTAAAGTATAGGAAGAATTTCCTCGTGGTCAAAGGTCGGGGAAAGGTCTATAGCGTACTCAAGAAGAGACAATGCATTATGTAAAATTTATGACTCAAGTATGTTCCTGCCACGTAATCCAGTCTGGGACTCTTCGCTACCGTAGGGTGGTTCACGTAACCTCTGGTCGGTTACGGCTTCCTCCACCATCAAGCCCATGCTTCCGAAAACAAATAACTGGAAACTGGATAACTAATCTCATATCCGACATGAACTGGTAACCGGACGAGAGGCCGTGGTTCCCCATATGATTAAGTCGCCTTATCGCCTTTTCTTTCTCCCGGGATAAATATGTAAATCGTATCCTATCGACACTATTGCTTTATCTGAAAAACTATTCTTCAAGCAGTGACATAATGGATACATATATATTTGATTTATTGAAGGCACAAAAATATTTATGTGTAATTACCGATAATGACGCAATTACGACTTATGTCGAAATGCATAACAGACATAACAAAAAATACAATACAATTCATTTTGGCATTCTGAAAACACAGCACTCAGTAGAAAAAATCATATTACAGAAATGCCTGGAAAACGAGCAAAACTCAAGAACAAAGTTTATAACGTGTAATGCACGTGCTCGTTCACCAAAAATAACACACATAATGCCAATTATAATTCAAAGTTGTACGGACCCATAAGTGTTTATTGGAGATATCCAAGTTAAATCACTTGTTGTTTTAATATACCTATTCAATTTAGTGTACTATTATTACCATATTCAATTTTGAACTGACAGGTGGGTATTCCTGTAGAGTAGACCTTGCTTGTAGAGTTTGAGCTTTTTCTTTTTAATTAAGAACCCCAAGACACTTGCATAGATTGGGTTGGTTTTTCAACCATATTGCCCGTGGTTCCTTAGTACAGGTACACGAAACAGAGGTTTAATGGAAGAAATCCTCATTTTTAATTCCGTAACAAAATTTGTTGATAAAAAGACTAACAGAAAATTCAGTGGGAATCTTGTGGCTTCTTGTTATGCACAAGTTTCGAGATCCGTATAGGGTCAAGTTTCTTATACGGAGCCCCATTTGGGCATTATCGTTCGAATGGATGCTCCTTACTAATCCAAGCACTAATCTAATACGTGCTCCTTGGTTTATTTCAGTTCATCCACGAACATGTGAGAAAGAACAACAACTCAAATAAAATGGGTACACTTTATCTGCGGACCCCCTTTAATCGCGGTGTGAAAACCCCCTCGGTGAGGGCTGCTGTATGCCATTGAACCGTTACTCAAACGTACAGTGACTAATACATCTGTTTTATTTTTTTTTACTGTATGTTTATTACGTGCACATTTACTGTAGATAATTATTGATTTTTTGGTACGCGTTTTGTTATTTCGAAGGAATACTGAATGCAAAAGAACGAATTAAAATAATTCCACCATTTAACAAAATCACTAATAAGCATATGCATTATATATACTACTTTAGTATCCGTAATGTATCAGTACCCCACTCGTGGGGCAATTCGGATAGAACCTGGGGTACAATGGGGCATTTTGTCAAAATTCAACGAAGTATGCCATTAAAAAACAAGCAATTAATCAGCATTATCATCTAAAGAACAGAGCGACTTCAAATTTGAAGACTCGAGATTTTTAAAATCAATGTTCAACTCAAATATTTCAAATATTTTTACAAAAAATTCCGCAAACAAATTAAATTATTTCTTCTTCCGATTCTAAATCTGGAAATATGTTTGATTCTCGAATATATTCCATACTGGTCCATGGCTCGGAAGATACCATAATATTACACAGAATATAACGCATCTCCAGGCTCTAAGCACTTATGGTATCAAATACTACTGAATTATGCCCAGTAGGGGATGCCCCACTGAACCACCGGTCCATTGCTCCCCATTGAAAACAAATATTTTCGGGCAATCCCGCAGCGAAATTAGGAAGGCACATCCACTCGCCAAAGTTATGAAGATTTTACAGTGAAGAATATCAGACTGAAGCTGAAGAATATCAGACGCTGGTTTGTCACGTGGGAAGAAAGGCTAAAGTACAAAAAAGAAAAAAATTGGAAAGGTGAAATTTTAGTTTAAACCCCCCAAAACCAATTTCATCTCATCGCTTGCGTCGATCTACACGACCGCTGTCCGTTTGTGGGGTCGTTTTCACGTTGGGGATGTGGGAACTCACCGAAGGGCGGATTCAAACATGAGACCGCAGATATGATTTCGGATATAGTATGAGTGTGAGCGCTGATTCTCAACTGTACCCCATGTCCCAACTTCCCCTACAACAGAATCATAACTGAAAAAGAACACTGTAACACTGTACACATGTATTAAGTGCTCCATAAATCTCTATTGGGATTTTTCGAATCCTGTTTGGCTATACTGTAGAATGTAGATGGCGCGTTCTTGGTATGTAGTAAGAAGTTCAACGTTATACATATGCGTATGGATGTATATATTTTCAGCAAAGTCAAATTTATTTACTCTGTTCGCATTCATCTTTTTTCTTTGCAAAACTTGTCTCTTGAATGGCTCAAACTTGTCTCTTGAATCAGGGACTGAGTCTCCAACCTGTGCGAATTCATAAGACAAATTAGAAAAAAGAAAAAAAAATTTAAAACAATTTAAAGAAAAATTTTTTTCAGAAAATACCGATAAACCGGTAAAAGAGAATGAAAGATTTTCAGAATCTCATTCTTTGTCAAGATAAATTAGGGATTTATCGTAACTAAATCATTCCCTTCCCCAGTAAAAGTGGCTCGAAATTCGTATATGACTAGTTTTTTTAATGGTTGTTATATCTGATTGGTATTAGCTTAATATGGAATTATTCGATCTTTTTTTTACAGGAAAGAATGATGTTTAGTAACTTCATTCTTTCAGATGCATCTGTTTGTATGCATGATTCAATTTATCTTACGGCATCTCGAGATTTTTTTCCAGTCGTCATCGTCACAATATTGTTCATATACACAATCGTTGTCTGTATTACATCCTACACAAAGAAAAAATTAGAACACAATGTAACTAAATTATTCACAACAATCTGATAAATAAGACAAATTAACGACCATGCATAAAAAATTGTCGAAGTATATTTTCTGTTATATTTGGAAGTCATGCGCAATAATACGTCAAAAGCAGGATCACAAGTGTGGAACCTACCAAGATTCAACGCAACGTTGGCCAGAATCTCGGCCATTGTCTCCATTACAACCTACAAAAGGGACAAATTAGAAATATACTTTAACTAAGTCATTTACAACAATTTGGTCCGATAAACATCGGTCATGCAGGGAAATTGATGATCGATACATTTAGTTGCTAAATATTAGGGATGGGACGAGTCCGGCATTACAGAGATTCGACGAATCCGAGTAATAGGTCAAGGACTCGAATCGAATCCTCCGAGTCCGTGATGTCACAATGTAAGAGTGGAAAAACACGTTTTTGACCATACTACAGCATCGCGCGCTCACAAACATACGACGTAGCTCATATTTTTTGCCTAATGGTTCTGCAGATAGCTGTTGAATCAATTTAAAAATATACTTTTCGTTTTTTTTGGCTGCCATAATACAAACGTAAACGTGGGTCAATGTGCGCCCTGGCTCTGAACTGGATTTTCAGCCCACCACCTTGCGTCAATTCTGGGCGGCTATTTAGAAATTCTTACATGTCAAATAGAAAAATAAAAAGCTTTTGACCACAGTGCTTTCCCATAATTCCAGATATTTCTAACCTTAAATTTACTATGCCGCGTGTGCAAATGGTAGAGAGATGCCACTTGTCGTAAATACAATGCTTGCAATTTAGTAGTTCATGTAAACGTTCTAAAACGCTCCATGCTTTCCATTGCTCCCTTTTTAGAGAAAGGATTGCACGTAATAAACTCGATTTAAAAGAGGTATTAATGAGATTCCCCCGTGGGTTGATCCTGCGCATGTTTCATATTTATTTACGCGAATCGAAAACTCAAAAATATTGCGCTGACACATTTTATTGTGTACCACATGTATACCAAAAAGAATAGATAGTTTGAAGGCGACTGGCGCATCATTGTTATAGGCTATCAATAGTTTTCACCTTGCGTTATATTATATGGATATCTGTCGTCGTTTTTATTAGGAGTGTTTATAATACACACGAGTGATATTGTTAAATATCAAACCTTGAATTTCAACTAGTTAAGGTAGATAGTAAGATTTATAGGGGTAGAATTGATTATAGACTCGGTAAAAACGACGTGGACTAGAAATCGAATCCGAGTCCAAAAAATGCCTAGATTCGACTCGAGTCCGGATCCGAATCCCGGCCCATCTAACTAGATCCGTATGCTTGATCCAGTAACATAGACATGACAGCAGCCGACAGCAAGGAAAATATATACAAGAAGTTTCTGCATCATGACTTAGAAATTTCAGTCGTTTAGATAGTTTTACCTAGGATTAGATGAATTATTAGGTTAGTGTTAATATAAATTAGAGAGTAAGGAAAAAGGCCGGTAGTGTCGCAACTCGCAAGCTAGGAATTTTTGTTTCTACCAGTATTTGTATTAGAGCAACAGCTAGGTCCAGGTCTTGTCGGCCACGACGCTTTGATGCGTTCAGTTTTTGGGCGCATTCAAAATTCGACACTCTCGGACAGCGCACAGCTTAACCACAGGTGATTATTACTTATCGATTTTAATCGGTAAGTATGTTGATAGGTATTTGTATGTCTGTTAGATGCACGCGATATCTCACGAAAGCGAGATTGAATCTGCTCCAGATTTTGCATGTGCATTCATCTTATCTCGGACCAGAAGCCTTCTGGTTCAGAAGAAAAGGAAATCTGATTTTGCTGATTTGAACAAGTTTTATTTTTTTTTTGAAGATGTTTGTGCGATGGCCTATTGGCTAAAGCGTTAAGCTATGTATAGAACATGGAAAAGATTTTGCTATTTCACTGATATATAACAAACAGTTATACGAAAAGTACTGAGTTCAGTCCAGGATCTCCAACAAGCTTTTTCCCCCAAGAAAACTGTTATTCCCTGCTCGAAGTATCCAGAATATATAATCGTTCTTCGCTTCTTTCTTTTTTATCGAATGCACTGTTGCAGTTTAATTAAAACGAGAGAAACAAAGTAACATAAAAGAAATGAATTATCACAAATAGGAAAAATCAATATGAGCAAATGTTTCTACTTTTTATTAAGCTTGGGCATTGGGTAATCATTAAAAAAGAGCAAAGTTAATGAGGGTCATTATGTTCAGTTAAATAAAGCGAATTATTTCATTTTTCCAAAATATTCATAATTTGAAGCTGCATGCTCTTGCAAAATTTTGACGCGAGTCTTGCTAACGAGAACAATAGTTGCGGAAATGTAAATTCGCGGAACGTTTCAAGCAGTAGGCTACCCTACACTGATTTTATTTTCTAAATCATTCATAATTTGTGAGCTGTTTTTGCAAACACTCGGATCATTGTAAAAATAAAACGACTAGCTAGCGAGAACAATTGTTTTGGAGGTAAAAATTCGCGGAACGTTTCAAGCAGTACTTTACACCGATTTCATTTCCTGAAACATTCATAATTTGTGAGTTTTTTTTGCAAAGACTTGACTTATTTTGAAAATTGAAAACGACTAGCTAGCGAGAACCAATGTTTTGGGGGTTAAAATTCACGAAACGTTTTTCGCAAATATTTCTGAATGCTTTTTAGTCGACTCTATTATTATATAGTATATACACAGTCATCTTTACTTGAGTGGTTTTGATAGACTACCCACTTATTATCTGGGGACATATTGTTGATATAACCAGGCCCGAGTCATTGCCTCTACCTAGGACTTTAGTGCCCTATATATAAACATACTAAAAATAGGAATGTAACTAGTGTTCCGTGTTATATGAAATTGAAAGAGCAAGTTTCAGACTTTATTATTGATTGAAGGCTAATTTAATTTTAATAATCTCCTTTCAAAAAGTTCTCATCTCATGCCTACAAACATTTATAGATGGATGGCGATAGCTAAAAAATCAAGCAAAAGTCATCTCAACCATACGGCTATTGGGGTCTGAATAGCCTTTCCAAGCTGACCAATCATTTCAATAAACACTGAGGCACTATTGAAAAGTGTCTATGATAATTTCTGTGGTGCCCCATTAATTTGGTGCCCTAGGCAAGTTCCTATTTTGCTCAATGGTTCAATTCATCCCTGGCTACAACATCCGTTCATTATTATACGAATACAAATCTGCCAAACTAATACAGCAAGACTAGATAGAATTCCATGCTGTAGCTCAAACTAATGCCCACGGTGAAATCAAATATGAAAAGTGATTAAACTGAAGCTTTATAACAGCATTGAGGAAATAGATTATTATAAATAGAAAACCTTAATATGAGCAAATGTTTCTACCTATTATTATTAAGCTTGGGCATTGGGTACTCATTGAAAAAGGGCGAAATTAATGAGAGTCAATAGGTTGAGTTAAATAAAGAGAATCTCTTGTTTCGTTTTCCGAAATATTCATAATGTGAAGCTGCTCCTGCAAAATTTTGGAGCGCGTCCAACTAACGAGAACAATAGTTGCGGAAATAGAAATTCGCGGAACGTTTCAAGCAGTATTTAACACTTAATTTTATTTCTTGAAAAAACATAATTTGTGGCTTGTTTTCGCAATGCTTCGACTAATTTTGGAAATAGAAAACGGCTAACTGGCGAGAACAATCGCTTTGTTAATATAAGTTCGCAGAACGTTTTGAGCATTTCTTTACACTTATTTTATTTTCTAAAACATTCATAATTTGTGAGCTGTTTTGATTTATTTTAGAAAATGAGAAACACCTAGCTGGCGAGAACAATTATTTAGAATTAGAAATACGCAGAATTTTTTGCTAGTATTTCTGAATGCTTGATAGTCGGCTCTACTCTACATTGCAACTAATGCAAAGCAAAACGCTATTGATTACATAGTATGTATGTGTATATATTATTATATGGTACATACACAGTCATATTTACTTGAATGGTCTTGATAGACTGCCCACTGAATAGCTGGGGACATAATATTGATATAACCAAGCCCGGATCATTGTCTCCACGACTTTGGTGTCCTATATATATATGAAACATACTAATAGAAGGAATGGAACTAGTGTTCTGTGCTATCTGAAATTGAAAAAGCAAGTTTAAGACTTCATTACTGATTGGAGGCGAATTCAGTTTACATGAATGCAAATATGTCAAACTAATAGAGCAAGACTAGATATAGTTATCTCGCGTTGTAGCTCAAACTAATACCTTCAGTGAAATCGAATATTAACAGTATTGAAATCACGGTGAAATATTATTTAGGCGTTTGACGACTGACGGTTTTCAACAGTTTTGAAAAATGAACGATTATTATTAGAAAACCTCAATATAAGCAAATGTTTCTACCTATTATTATTAAGCTTGGGCATTGGTTAATCATTTGAAAGGGGGGAAATTAATGTCGGTCATTAGGTTGAGTTAAATAAAGAGAATCTCCTATTTAATTTTGCGAAATATACATAATTTGGAGCTGCTTTTGCAAAATTTTGTCGCGAATCTAGCTAACGAGAACAATAGTTGCGGAAATAGACATTCGCGGAACGTTTCAAGCAGTACTTACACATAATTTCATTTCCTAAAGTAATCATAATTTGGGGCATGTTTTCGCAATGCCTCGACTAATTTTGGAAAATAGAAAACGGCCAACTAGCGAGAACACTCATTCTGTTAATAGAAATTCGCAGAAAATTTTAAGCAGATCTTTACACGTATTTTATTTTCCAAAACATTTATAAATTGTGAGCTGTTTTTGCAAAAACTCGGATTATTTTAGAACTTGGAAACGACTAGCTAGCGAGAGCAGTTGTTTTGGAGGGCAGAATTCGCGGAACGTTTTAAGCAGTACTTAACACATAATTTGATTTCCTTAATTAAATAGACATAATTTGGGGCATGTTCTCGTAATGCCTCGACTAATTTGGGAAAATAAAAACGGCTAGCTAGCGAGAACAATCATTTCGTTAATAGAACTTCGCAGAAAATTTTAAGCAGTTCTTTACATTTATTCTATTTCCTAAACATTCATGATTTGGCTGCTTTTTTTTGCAAAATCTCGGCTTATTTTAGAAAATGGGAAACGACTAGCTAGCGAGAATAACTATTTTGAATTAGAAATACGCATACCGTTTTTCGCACATGTTTATGAATGCTTGATAATCGGCTCTACTCTACATTGCAACTAATGCACAGCAAAACGATATTAATTACACAGTATAGCCATCTTCACTTGAATGGTCTTGATAGACTGCCCACTGATTAGCTAGGCACTTATTGTTGAATATTGATGATATAACCAGGTCCGGATCATTTCCTCCGAGACTGGTGCCCTATATATAAAACATAGTGAGAACAGGAATGTAACTGGTGTTCGGTGTTATTTGAAATTAAAAAGCATGTTTCAGACTTTTTAGCCAGTTAAGAACATGTAGCATATAGGAACACGTTGTTGAAGTAGATAAAGGCTGTAGATATTTAGCCATTAAAACACGTTTTGACGTTGACACGGAGAACAAACGATGAAGACATGACGACACGACACCGATCCAGATGACTTGACTCCAAATACCAAACCGCTTCAATACATCCCCCCAAATATCCAATTGAAACCTTATATATACGTACGCGCGTATGGTGATATCGATTCCATTAGGGTTATCGATTCGGGTTGGAATACTAATTAGCATCTGCTGCCATCGATCCAACTATATTTTTAGTTGTCATCTGTTTGTCCAATTACAACGGGCCCTATATCGATCCAATTCATGAATTTGGAGAAATTAGCAATTTCCAGTCTTTTTAATGAATTTTACCTAAAATAACGAATTTATCCATAAATATATCTACGCCGTTTAGATCGGAGATCGGGGTTTTGGGCATATTTGTCACCTAACGTTTATACGTAAATTTAAAAAACATTGAAAATGACAAAAAACACAATTGAAAAATATACATACTGAATTCAAAAATATGAGACAAGAACTCAAGAAGATTTGAGAATGAGAGGGAAGTAGGATGACAGTAAGAGTGTACGTAGATTAGAAAAGAAAAAGCGATTTATTGTTTTTTAAATTTGATTGCGACAGATAAAACTGATCTTTCAATCCAATATACTTCGTCACACTGAAATACTGATCGCTCATGTTTTTGAAAAAATAGCGCTTTGTGAGTTCGCTTGTTGCGATTTGTTGATAATGCCAGCTTTGGGCTTTGAAAAAAATAAAAAAAAATAGCGCCTTGTTAAAAAAATGTCATATACTCGTGTTTAACGAATATATTGATGAACTCATTTATGCACCGTTTTCATGACGATGTTATAAACGCCCAAAAGAGTGACTCGTTTGAATCAACTTTTTTCAAAATAGTTCAGTGTTGATGAAATCTATCTAATCGAAATAGTTTGCATCCGTCAATGTTTAGTTAATATAAATCACAAGAATTTTGAAATCGAATATTCACCTTCATTGCGTAATCAATTGGCCATAGGATTAGTTGCAATTTGAGAAACACTCAATGTCTGTTTTCAAGAAATTCATAGAAATTAAGATCCGAATTAATATCGCCAAAAAAGCTAAAGAAGGACTATACATTGAGAAAAGGAAGTAGTACGATAAATGTCCCAGTAAGAAAAAAACCGTATGTATATATATAACAAAGTAAAACAAATTGATGAATAATATTTTCATTCGATTGTCTTGCTCGATCATTTTTTTTGCTGTAATCTTTATGAATATCTAAAAGCGTGCGCTTCCTTCGTACTTTTATAAAACTTATCGTTCGTTGTATTATATCATCAGTTTAATTTAGCCTGATACGATAATTCACCTTGTATTTTTGAATTCAAACAGAAGTTTATTGTGTGGACTTGGTCTTTTGTCCGTCGTCTGATTCTTTTCCGATTCCGTACCATTGTGTTCTGTAATGCTTCCATATTCGTCTCAGCAGTGCCATCGTTTGTGTTGTTGTCGGTATTTTACTTCTTCGATATGTGCTGTTGTTGTTTTGTTGGGTCACCTTTAGCGATTTCGACTCCACATCTGAAGGTTTGCTATTCTTTGTTCGGGATCACCATTTTAGCCATTAAAAACACATTGAACGTTGTAGATATGTTTAAGGTTGTAGACAAAGAATACAGAAGATTGTTAAGACATGACGACATCGAGAAACGAGACGACACTTATCAAGACGACTTGATTCCAAATCCCAGACCTTCTCAATACATGACTTCTTCAATACCTTCCTTCTTCAATACCCTTTTTCAAATATCCAATTGAAACCTTATATATACGTATGCGCGTATGGTGATATCGATTCCATTAGGGTTATCGATTCGGGTTGGAATACTAATTAGCATCTGGTGCCATCGATCCAACTATATTTTTAGTTGTCATCTGTTTGTCCAATTACAACGGGCCCTATATCGATCCAATTCATGAATTTGGAGAAATTAGCAATTTCCAGTCTTTTTAATGAATTTTACCTGAAATAACGAATTTATCCCTAAAACTTGATTATTGAATAAGTTATTTGAAACGAAACGCTCCGCTTCATATTTTTTTTACAGTAAATCTTTTTCTTCAAGAATTCCAATGCTGAGGTTTTATTTTTCTATTGCTCTTCTTTCAGTTTGTTGCGCAGCTTCGTTTTGTGATTTCGGATTGATATACAAGGCTCACGGTGGTCATATGGCCTAGTAAAGCAGGCGTAACTGTAAATGTGGATGCGACAAGTCATGTCCGCCATTCTCAAAGGTCAAAGTTTATAGAATTCAATCAGACGGATGCAATAAAATTCCTATGTAAAACGCGATTATGACAGGAAAAAAGCCATGACACGTAAACAATATTGCCTCATTTCGTCGTCTTATCGAATTCAAGCGGTATTTTTTGAATTAAATAGGGCATACAATATTTATTTATAATTCTATAGCAAGCATGAAAATGGTTAGTTCTTGACAAATATCGCACTGAGTAAACTTGGCGTCACATAGACCAGATAAATGTCTCACTCAAGTGTTGCACACTTCTAATATATCAGATATATTAACAAACACAACATTATCCTTAGAACGAGAGCATATTCGAGAACGGCGCTGAAAATATGATAATTTCGTCGCAAGGCAGGCTCTCTTGTCGTAGTTCTTTGACTTTTGTGCACATATAGTTGATCATTGCTTCCTCATTCTTAATAGTATGTCGAGTGAAATAAAGTTGAATGTCAAATCTACTAATCTGGACCAAATCAGCAAAATATTTTTCTTTATTGAAACCTCATTTGAGGATTCCTTTGAAAATCTTAATTTTTACACGTTACCGGCTCCGAAAATTGATTCTAAATATACGCTTATATTTTTGATACCATGGATTTTGGTGTGAATCTTGTTTAAAATTCAATCAAATACACTTACAACGATTCGTAGTTGTAAGCAGTACAAAAGCAATATTTTAGGCAGTAGGCAGAAAAAATTAGGCATATCGAAGTCGATGTTTAATAAATTGAGTACGATAATCGAAGTACTTCTTCCTTGAGAACTTGACCTCGATATGCGTTATGTACACACATATTTTCTGACAACAGTACTTGCTACACTTGTTTGTCGATAAACATTAAAGTGAAGAAACACAAACTAATTGCTATCTCTGCAAAGATATATAGAGCCATTATATCGTCTTCGTGTTTATATAAGTGTCAACCGAATCTAATTATCAAATGAAAATATGGCTCAACCGTATTTTGAAGATGACACAGTAAACTATGAAGCACTTTGATTTTGAAATGACAGCGTAGCGACTTTGTGCTTGTCGAAGAATTTTAATCAGGTGTTTGAAATTTCTATGATTTGAGTCACATAGTCAGCTTGATTATATTTAGTAGAGTAATTAAATACTAAACATCATGCCTATACAGTGCTTTGCTATCCATTAATTAGAAAATAATTCAAGATGTTTTAACCAGTTGCCAAAAATGTTTCTCACCTAGACTGGGCGGGCCATGTAAGTGTGACGTGAAAAGTTTTATTTTATGAACAATATTTACAGTGCTGCAAAGCAAAGGTGGAAAACATTATGCCTTGTGCAAAAACTAAATTTAACCACAATCTCGACAAATTCCTTGAGCTTTTTTTAGCCTAAACATCAAAATTTGGTTTCAGTTTGCTTGCGGAGCATCAGGCGGACCAGATGAATTACCCAACGGGCCGAAGTTCGCCGGAGGGCCGTACTCCGCCCATGTCTGATCTAGATCATCACATACCGGTTTGCATTTTATCCGTAGTGTATGGATAAATTTGTGTTTGATAAGTATTAATTAAGTATCAAAGTGTTTGATAAGTATTAATTAAACGATGCAACTGCTGACACTTTTGAAATTTTTCCAACTGTGGTTTATTCGTACCAACGTTTGGTAATATAAAACAATACAGGCCATTTTTATAAAATGTAAATGATAATAAGTACACGTTGATATTTCTATGTTCTATGTTCCTTGTGTAATTCTGATGAGCTTTATAATATTTTAATGTATTAATATTTGAAAATAGCATAGGATAACTCGACGTCAATGATCAAAAACAAACAGGAAGGAAGTATGGATTTTGAGATCGAGCAGGGATCAGTTCAAAAACTCAAAACTAGATGAGAGCTAAATGAGGAGAATAATTCATACGGCAATAAAAAGCCGTCTGCAAATAAAATCGAAACGAGAGAGGAAAAAATCAAACGATGGGCAGAATCGGAGAGAAGATATTGGGAGGTGCAAAAGGCTAATAAAGAACAAAAATATCAAAATAAAATAAAATATGGCGAGACGAAAGAAAGCGATAAAAGACGATGTGGCCCAAAGTCTGATGGCACTGACAAGCAAGTAAAAATATAACGGTAAAAAACAACGAAAGAAAACAGGAGAAACTAACACGATAGGCAGCGTCTGAGAGAAGGTATTGGGAGGAACGAAAAGCTGCCCAAGAGCAGCGATATCGGGAAAGAAGATATCTGGAAGAACTTCGGAGAGGTGAAGAAAATGAAACAGAAGATATGACGGAAATACAAAAAGACGTAGAATATGACGTCGTCGTGGAAACCAGTGAGGTCGCTGACCAGACAGAAAATATAATACGAGGTAAAAACGAAAATCAACAGGACAAACTAACACGATGGACAGCTTCGGAGCAGAGATATTGGGAGGAAAGAATAGCGGCTCAAGAGCAGAGATTTCAAGGGAACAGATGTTTAGCAGAACTTCAAAGAGAGCATCGCTATCAGAAAGAAATACGTTTGAAAGAACTTCGAAAAGCTGAACAGGAGAAGCGATATCTGGAAAATAGACGTCGAGAACAACTTCGAATAGCTGAAGTGAAGCGGCGAAATCAGCAAAAAAGCGATCCTAGGAAATGTATCTAGAAACACAGAGTTCAAACAAACATCAATAGTAGTATTGACTTTGAGAACCTAATCAATGTTTTCCGTCGCAATGCAGAAAATTACGAATTCCAGAATGGATTTTTAGAAATTAATACGCATGGGGAAATTGCTGCTGGCGTCACTGGTGCCACGGAAACGTATAGTGCCATGGAAGCTGTCTGATGCGTGGTATTGTAGCGAATGTGCATTGTGTAACTATGGATAATAATGTATTTAACCCTTTCATATTAATAGCATGTAATATTTCACAAAATAGGCCACATTATGTTTTCGCATCAGCGATAATGCATTCGCTCCATGTATTGCCTTTCTCGTTTTGACCAATTTGATGACGTATCGTTTCCAGACGATAATAAGCACACGATGTTGAATGTCGAATTGTTGTATATTATTGAAAAGGTGCACGATCCAAATTCCAAATACAGATAAAATTGTACACACTTAATTCTTAATGCAGTAAGATTACGGTCAGATCACAAGTGAAACAAAAAGCACAATATTATAGAGTTATCTCGGCAAACCGGAAACGATACGTCATCAAATTGGTCCAAACGAGAAAGGCAATACATGGAGTAAATGCATTATCGCTGGTGCGAAACATAATGTGGCCTATTTTGTGAAATATTACATGCTATTAATATGAAAGGATTAAATACATTATTATCCATAGTTACACAATGCACATTCGCTACAGTATCCCAAAGTAATCATAAACACAGCTGAGCTGAAAGCACGGTGGATGAAGCGTATGCTGTATGCGCTATGTATTATTGATTTATCGTGAAACAATACGGATTTAAAAAAAAGTCATGATACCTATTTTCTACGTTGAGCGAGAAATTTCCAACACCGAAATCAGAAGCAAACTAGTTTGGACCAAAACATAGGAGTAAATGGCATAAAATATCACATTTCCCGTTCAAGTTCCCGTATTGATGTCAGCGCCCCCTAATCGCCCAGTTCAACAGCCAGCGCCCCCCAATTGCCGAAATCGCCATCAGCGCTCCAAGGAGGAGTCTAGTGAAATGCCACCAGCTTGATAATGTCTGGCTTTATTTCAGTCAAAAATAGTCCTGGATTTCGTGTACATAAATGATCAGTAAATTAGGGCATGTTCGAATTTCACCGAGTATTAGGTTTATGCAAAGAATATTTTATCGCAGAGCTCAACTAAGAAATTATTATCTGCCATGGACAACCTCAATATGGTCACCTCACATGGTATTTATATTTCGGTTATGGCGGGTTTTGCATGGTTTCCACTGTTTTGGCAGGGTTTATAGTTGTTTTTGCACGTGTAAGCAAGGTTTTTCGTTGTTTTTGACTGTTTTTAAACATTTAAATATATATATTTTTTTTTTTCGGGTTTTCATTGTTTATGCATGATATTTGCAAAGTTTGGATGTTTTATGCAGTTTTTCTATGCTGTTGTACCTTTTTGGCGATTTGTCATGGTTTTTGCTAGTTTTAGACGGTTTTTCACTGTTTGCACGAGTCACGAGTTTCCAGTGCTTATTGCAAGATTTTTACGGTTTTTAACGGGTTTATTTTTTCAGTGTTTTCAAATTTTTTGTAATGTTTTAAAATCCAACTAAAATATCTACCTATCTATTAATTCCACCTATGCGATATTTTTGATAATTTCTTCTGCTGAATGATCTTTGAAGAATTAAAATCAAATGAAAATTAAAATACCGCAAAAACTTCTGAGGAGGCCTTGCGGGCCGGAGTCGGGAAAGCCCCAAAATGATCAAGATACTGTGAGTTTAGTTTCTTTAAATATATCAACGAACTAGAGTACCGTAATTGTTATGTTACATGGGTGGCGTTTTTTTAAAGAATATATTTGAAAAGTAACAAACCAATTCATTGTTTCTTGCTTTTGGTTTCTTCTTTAGATATGCGTTTCGTCACACGGCCCACGCTTGGAAATTGCGGTGTATTTTTACCAAAAAAAAGCTTGAAAATGTCGAGTTCATGGTGCGACATTGAAATGAAGAGGATCCTTTCTGCACAAGACAATTTATTCTCCTATGTTGTAACGGTATGTTAGTCGTTGGTTGTAACCCTGCTGCTGTTTGAAAATGTATTTCAATGCCAAATTTACACCTTTTACGTACACCGCAATAGCGTCGTTTTACGGTCATCGAATGACGGTTTTACGATATTATCTGTGCGTTATCACCTTAACACGATGCGTAATAAACCAACGCAACCACGTCTTCGGTAAAGCGATTGAGACGGCATAAAAACAACGAAATTTCTCGCCGACCGGCAAAAGAGCTTCGCGGACCGACACCGGCCCGCGGTTGGGAACCACTGGTGTAGTGTATGCTAAAATTGTACTGCGGGCCGCACAGAATGTGCCCGGGTTTTGACCACCCTCTAATAGCCTATTAAGAAGCGTATTCGACGGCTAGGATCACGTTGGTGACAACTGTTCATAACTGATCTCAAAAGTGAAGCAAAGTCGAGCTAGATAAGTACTCCAGTGATTTCCCTACACCCCCCTATAGGGGGTGAACACCCCCCCTAAAATTTCAAACACCCCCCCCCCCCCCTAATTTTGAGGTGCGATTCAACATTGAGGGGTTCTAAACCGCAGTCTGCGGGTCAATTACGCCCGCGTGACGATTTAAAATGGCGCGCCGAACTTGAGTGAAATAGTTTAACCCTTCATGTGGTACCTTTTGAGTTTTAGATACCGTCTATTGTTACATCATTATCACAGTTTAAGCACGTTTATTTCGTAACAATTGAATTATTCCGGTATCTTATGTATAGGCATGGGTATTATGATTACACACTGCAGTATTTTAGATATCAGCCATATATTAAGAAAGCTTGAAGATGTCACAAAACGAAAACTAGGAACTGAAAACAGACGTTTTTTACATGAATGACAGCGTTTTTATTTCTTTATTGAAAAGAATCAAACTCCAGCGATTTGTCTCCTTACAAAATATTTCAGTTCTGGAAGAATACAACATTATGCGACATCATGATCAGTTGACGAGCGTATTTCAAAATTTAATTCATACAAAAGTCAAACAAACATGTTCAAAAAAATTAGAAATGTGTAACAAAACAAGCCATAAGTAGCCATTCATACAATGCCAGATGAGCAAGTAACTTCATTAGTCACTATCAGTTGCAAATTACTTGTTGAAACGTAGTAGTATATATTTTCGGTTGAAAGCCGTGCTTGTTATCTATTCCCCGAGAATTCTATCAGGTAAATATTATAATTATTAATTTTATTACATAACAAACTGCGATGCTAGGTGTATCTAAAATCAAGCTTAGAGCCTATTTTGGTGCCACGGCTGAACCCCAGCCGTGTCGTCTCGCACTTTTCCTCGCTCCCCTTTTCTGGCCCTACAATTTCATTCTGCTGTGGATTTTGGCTCGCCGGCAATCAACTCGGGGGGCCCCCATGTACATCGTTTCTTAAATACATACCATTTTTTTAAGAATGCAAATAGCCTAGTTTTATCTCTAATAGCAAATTATTTACCACCCCCTAAATTTTGAAACACCCCCCCTAAAGAGAAAAGCTGGGGAACATGCTGGTACTCGCTTGGGTAGCCGGCTCGGAATACCGAGTGTCGTAGACTTGTTGTATTTGCATAATATAATAATAATTTGTGCCATTTCATTATTTCGATCGATTAAAATATTTATGGTCGGCATTCACAAGAATTGTTATAGGAAGCTCGAATCATATTTGGTGCCTTCATGATTGAATAACTACTTGGTAGAGACACCGTGATATCTTACATGTCTCTCACATGTCCTGCTTGTATCAGAGTTGTCTTATTTTCCACATTTTTCTTGCTAACACTTTTTCTGACTGTCCTACACATGTATGTATTTCATCCCACTTGTCCTGTGAAATTGCTATATATATACATCATTTTCATTTCTACTTAATCACTGTTCAAACCAAAGAAATAATTGGGGATTTTAAGAACGGATGATCTTTTGGGTCGTTATCTGGTGAATTGTCAACTGCGCGTGAGCACAATGACAGGATTTCAGTATTAGATATATCATCAACAACGAACGACCTATCAAAATGAACTGTTGGAACATCGATGGAATTTTCCCGATCAAAAGGTTGCGATCTTCTTACACCGCTACTCTGTAGCAGCGCACCATCCACTGCAAACGCCAGAAGTGCGACTTGTACAAAGTGACACACGAAACAACCCAGGAATATATAATTAGATTTATTTATAAGAAACAAAACACCAATATCGAACATATAATTCTGTACTGAAAAAAAAAAAATTTAGTGAAATTGATTGTCTTTGTCCAGAATTGCGACTTCACACAAATTAGATACAAAACATGTAAAATGCATCATATAAATAGTTTCCCAATATCTTGAGACCTAATACCTTTCAAGGTGTATTGCTTTTTGTTAGATTTGCTTTGATATGTTAGATTGGATAGATAGCAGGTCAAGATAGATATAAAACGGTAGCAACAAATGGTTAGAGTAAACTTCAAAATGAGTAGCTCGTGGATTAGATTTTTATGACAAAAATCCTAAATATCAACCAATTTCCCTCACTTCAAGGCACAAATTTAAGGCAGAAAAATTATATGAATCTGTTATTTCATTCAGTAAAATCATGTAAATAAAATATGACAAAATAAGTAAAACTGCATGATTAGATTAAGCATATTGTCAATTGTGACAAAAGCATGATTAATAATATTCTCAATATTAAAACAAAACTTATCGCATTTGCTAATTGTATAACATGACACCATCATGATCAAATAACTTGAGAGTTGAGACACTAAAATTCGCCTTGGCTTTTTAAATTACATATTTCCTTATTGCGTGGCATATCCATTTAGAAATAATCCAACATTTAAACTCCAATTTTTGACATTCAATGTCAGAAGGAGAAAAAACCAATAACTTTGGCGAAGTTGAAAACTATGATCAAAAAATATTTGTTGAGCAAACTCAAAAAAGCTTCATTGTCCTCAAATAAAGCATAAATAGGTGTTAATAAGTTTGCACACTCATCTACAAATCTGCATCTTGATGCTTGGAATATTGCAACGCAGATAATAGAAACAGGTAATATTTCAGGATTCCATCATTTCATTTTTCAAAAGCTGTTCAAGTTCTGGGTAAACAGTTTCATCTTCAATTGTCGGTGAAACCTTTGAATCAAGAAATATCATTTCATTTTCTCTAAATACAGACCATTGACGTTTGCATACATATTATAAACACATACTGCAAGTGATAGAATGAAAAACATTTACAACAAATTCAGATACATGTATCAGAAACAATTTGGTTTCAGAAAATTATAATCAAGAAAAATTGCAAGTTGTATTCCACTATCAGAGAGGTTACGCAATATTAACTCCCAACCCTTCCTCAATGACTTTGCGCTAGTTGATCCATATGCATATAATGCAAGCATGCTGTAGCAGGAATAAAAATACTATACTATGCAATTCAAGAGTCCTGCTGCACACTAACACAAATGTATTTCGTCTGACCGAGGTCAGACTTCCTCAGACAAGCAGTTTTCAACAATGACCATTGGTTGATCATTGACCGACCATAAGTGCATAGGAAACTTACCTTGTATGGTTTTTTGTTGACAAGTGATTCTAACGTCTTCCTTGGAGTTTTTCCTGATCTCGTTTTCGGTAATCGATTGACAAAAATTCCTTCTTTAAATGCAGCAACAGGACCAATTTGTTGTCTGACAAGTTGAACAATTTCTTGAAAAATTTGATTCTTCTCAACGGAACAACCTACAGTAGAAAGTGGTTGTTTAAAAAGATATATATTCAATGCATCTCAAAATATTGCAGTTCATGAAAGCCCACATTTTAATGCATTCTATGATTCTACACAATGCTGCAAGCCCTAGCAGCCAGACAGGCGCGGTGGTGTGGCTTAACGGGCTAAGCGTTAGGAATACGCTCGCCACCGCACCTCTAATTACTCTGCATGGGTTCGCAGGTTGGAATCCCATGCAGGGATGGTTATGTGCGAGAGGATTGCTGGACTCCTCGCCGTCGTTGGGTGGTTCACGTAACCGCTGGTCGGTTACGGCTTCCTCCACCACCAAGTCCATGCTTCCGAAAACAAACAATATAACTAATCCCATACCCGACTTGGAATGGTAACCGGACGAGAGGCCGTGGTTCGCCATATGGATAAGCCGTCTTATCGGCTTTCCTCTCCCCGGGATAAATATGTAAATCGTATCCTATCCTATCTATCAATATGTAAAGAGCTATCATTATTTGGAAAGACTTTTGGTTTGGCATTGCAACTCAATTACGGTAGTTTCATCTCCTGGGTGAGGTGAGGGGTATGGGATTTGAACTGGAGAGAAGTAATCTGTGATACCAATGATAACTAACTTTCATCATGGTACCATTTTTCAATTCACGGTAAAATTCTTACCAGGTTTCAAAATAATATATGCAAATGGTGTAGAACCTTTTATTTCATCATCTTTTGCAACTACAGCCGCCTCAACAACATCCTTGTGCGAACAGATTGCCTACAGACAAATATCGAAATTAATAAATGGATTCTTATCATTTGTGGTTTTTTCCTGCCGTCCCTGGATCAAAATTTTTTTGTCATTTATGGCAGGGTAGAATAAAGCAAATAAATATGCTTAAATACAAGGCAAACTACAGCTGATCAAATCTCACCCAAAAGTAAAAGGTGATATGGGGATATAAAACTTTTACCTCTTCTATGTGTCCACATGACAACCTGTGTCCTGCGACATTGATGACATCATCAGTTCTTGACATCACAGACACATATCCCTTCTCATCTTTAACTCCGGCATCCATTGTGTCATAATATCCCTGGTGAAAAAAGTGAAAAATTTGATTCAATTTCATAGATATTTATGTACAGTGTACACAATGTGCCCAGGTACAATTTTATTCTGTTTCAAACAAAATGACAGCGGTGTTAATGGATTTTTTACACATTTCCAGAATGCAATCCTTTTAATGAAAAATTGTGGATTGTGATTACTCAGTTGAAGACAATGTCTATTAAAATGTTGAAAGTTGAAAATTGCACAAGTCACTGACAAATATAGCACAATAAATGAACTAACAGGATATTTTTTGAAATAAGTATCAACATATCTGTCATCATCTTCCCAAATAGTTTGAAATGTACCCAGATTGAGGGGAAGTCGAACAACAATATTTCCAAGTTGACCAGGTTCAACCGGCACTCCATCTTCATCAACGACCTGAACTGAAATTGCAACGACAACAATAATAAGTTGGTATATAGCAGATATTCCTATTCATGCTAGATAACAGTGGAGAGGAAGGGCAACCTTACAGTGTAGAAACCAGTCAAGAATGGCTCCTAAAACACAATGAAAGCATCGAATTTGGGACTATATTGTGATTAGGTTTTATAATGGATCAGTTAAAAATTTTAAAAACCATAAATCGGCCTCCAAATTAGCTTCCAAACTTCCATTGAAACAAAGAAACTTTAAAAGACATTCTACCTACCATCCCACCCTGGCACAGGGACTCCTGTACTTCCTGAAGGTGGTTCGAGGGAATTTCCAAGGCCAACACAAGAAGCTGTGATAGGATGGCCAGTTTCTGTTTGCCACCAATGATCAAGAACAGGTGATTTGAATGCTTTCATTGCCCACTGTGCTGTATCAATGTCACAGTGTTCTCCAGCGACAAAGAGTGTTCGCAAACTGGAAAAAATTAACATCGTGAAATTCTGAAAGAAATAATATGAGAATATCGGTCGGAGACCGAAGACTTATCGATCGAAACTGCGGTTTCGATTCATGACTCTATAGTGACACCGCGTGTCCAATCACTAATTAATCAATAACTCGCTAATTATACGACATAATTCATCCAAAATGAATAGTCTTCTGGTCTGAGATATGATGAATGCACATGCAAAATTTGGAGCAGATTCAACCTCGCTTTCGTGAGATATCGCGTGCATCTAACATACAAACAGACAAATACCTATCAACATACTTACCGATCAAGATCGATAAGTAATAGGAATGGTTCAAATTAACCCACCACTGAAGATGAATCACTTTAGATTGTTGGAAGAACTGTGATGAGGGCCATAATTAGAGAGGGTACCACACAGTCATATTTCTTTAGCGTAAAAAAATTGAACAAAAGAACCAAATTAAAATATGTCAATCGACAGTTTCTTACTCAAATAATTAGTTTTCCGAATAAAAATTGTGTTCACTAAAAACCCAGTTTGAACAAGCAGAAGCTGCAATGCAAAGTGCTAATATGTTCTTAAGTTGCATGGGTAATACCGTAATACCATACAACATTTTCTGTTCATTAGGTCAGTGTTTTTCAACCGGGGTGCCGCGGCACACCGGTGTGCCGTTAAATATTGTCAGGGGTGCCGTGGGAAATTCTCCAAGTTGTGTGTCTATGCGGTGTGGCGCCCGGCAGAGTAATCATGTAGTACTGTTCTATATCAGATCGTGACAGCATTAGGTGGCGATTTTTTTTGTCTTTGTTTTTATTTGATTACTATTCAGGATGTCCTATTCAACATCTTTCTTCAATTTTAAAAATCTTATATTAACAATAAAACACTTATATTGTGAATATTAGGTCTTTTCCCCATATTTTCAGCTGGTGGTGTGCCGCGGGATTTTCTCACTGAAAAAAGTGTGCCTTGGCTCGAAAAAGGTTGAAAAACACTGCATTAGGTCACCTTGACATATCATATTTACTACTTGCTGTAGCTTTGGGATCTTCTCGCTTGATGACTCGTAATGCTGTAGGTGCAGTGAATAAGCATGAAACTTTATGATCATTGATGATTCTAAAAAATGATGATGCATCCGGTGTTCCCACAGGTTTTCCCTGAATAAGTGTAGAAACTTTAAATTTAAGTAAACATTGCATATCGACTTACAGCAGCACAAAAGCACAAAACTCCAAAAAATGACATTTTGAAAGTCAATTAAAAACTTTGTCAGAAACAAAATCTTTGAACTGTCTTAATGTTAATTCAGTTCAGTAAAAAAATTGCTTTTGAGCCACTCTGCGGTGCTTACAATTGAAATAATTTAGAAATATTTGGAAGTGCTCAGAAACAATTGGAATCATTTTTCATAACAATAAATCACCGCGAAACCTTGTCTTGAAAAGCGGCGATGAACACCTTTTGAGTACCTCATAAATTACTGTCGTGTTACAGTGCAGTAAAGGTCCATGACAAGCATATGAATGTCCAACAGCCCAACCGATATCAGCTGCTGTCCAAAATATCTGAAGTAATTACAGAATTACAACATGCAAATTATTATCGGCTATTAATATGATTGTCAACTTTCTTTCATCAAAATTATTCGGAATTTTTATTCAACAGACACAATTTGAACAAAATGAAATTAAATCAAAATCAGCAAATTGAAAGTGCATTAATTGCACCCATAATATCATGCCACAGGCTTCCAAGAATATACCTCATACATAACAGTTGTGTTTCCATGTACTAAAGGTGCATGACATACATATGAATGTCCAACAACCCATCCTATATCAGCAGTAGCCCAGAATGCCTAGTAATGTGAATTATCAAGAACACTTTCTTCGAAAGAATACTATTAAATGAAGATCATGTACAATGAAGTTTGATTCTTGAATTACTGTCTATTATATTCTCAATTCTGATTTTCAACAACGTAACGTATTTCCAAAATGCACAAGCACAACCCATAAAAAAGTATAATTGCCCAATTTATTTTCAGTTCAAGATAAATAAAAATGACTCGATAAATCCCTTTTTATTTTGTAATCCCTATTCAAGTAGAGAAACACTGAAACACAAATAGTGGATGCAGAAGTACTAAAATATCTCACTGGAAATCGTTAATTAATTTTCCTGGTCTATTCTGGATAAAATATGAGTGAAGCCCAGTAATACTCATTAAAAAGTTTACTGTTTTTACTCTACCATTTAATTTCAATTGAATTTTTTAGACATCATAAATGCTGAAAAATAAATCTTAAACATAACTAATAATTTCGTACAGAATTACCAATTCAGACACATGACCAAATAATGATAATACGAAAACTCACTTCTCCAGGCTTAACTCCATAAATATTTTGCATACTCCAGTTCAAAACAACAGAATGTCCGGCTGTTGGACGTACTGCAGCCTTTGGTAAGCCTGAAACATATACCAGATCAATTACATTAAATTTCAAAGTAAAACAAGGATAAGAATGAGAATAATTATTTATATATGGGATCAACTTTTTAGGTTAGCAATATGCTGTGACATGTCTTTTCATCATTGATCCAATTCCAAACAATCTTGTACAAAGTACAATAGCAAGGAAATTCTGGCATCTTTCTTGTTCAAAATAGCCTACCCGATTTGATATGCGGGGTGAAGCAGTTGGGTGCAATTGTGAATATCATCACTGATAGCAAGTGAAATTTAGGTTCTGGAAATATATATATAATGCTTCCATTTGTAATATTATGATTTGTGGCATATCTTTCACTTTCTTATTAAGATCAAAAATATATGGTGCGTGCAGAGAATTATAATTGATAACCTGTAGTGCCAGAAGTATATAGAAGATACATCGGATGATTTGACTCAACCGGTACACAATCGTGAGGACGAGCACTTGACATTTGTTCATTCCAGTCTACATCGGTATTATTATTCAAAGTCACCGGATCCTGATAAACACGAAAAACTGTATTAAAGATTGTTGATAAGACTAAGTGAGCGCACGGAGTTGTTTAGATATATCGCAGGAATAGAGGAAGAGTTACAGATAAAGGTTACAAAGCAGAATCATGCATGTGGATTCATCATCGCAGATACATTAAGGTGATTGAAGACCACTAGCTTAACACAACTCGCCCTTATAAAATACACATTCAACATAAATGCGTAATAGGATACTTCCATTTTCAAGTTCGATCAAACATGTTTTTCCATCAAGTTTTTCTGATAACATCATCAATGTTAAACTATATTAAATTAGCCAATCAAAAAAATCATTACCAAATTAGGTCTTTGAAATACTATTGTCTTCAATGGTTTGTGTTCCGCCATTTCAATTGCTTGATCAACCATGGGTTTGTAGCTGACAAGGCGTGTTGGTTCTATTCCGTAATTGGCACATATGATTACTCTTAATAGAATGAAATATTTCATGTTGTAGTCAAAATAGATTTTTATTTTCTCTCAATATACTGTTGGACCAGATCCTATTTCAAAAGCAATAGGTTTGGTTATTTCATTTCAGAATCGTAGGAGGGTCAATTATGTTTAGTGTTCAACGTTGAATAATTAGCTATAATAAAAATGCAGAATCATACTTTGGTTTGCAACTGTTTATTCGAACTGATAATTCTTTTCCAGCAAAACCTCCAAATACAACAACATGAATTCCACCTAATCGAACTGTAGCCATCATCGATATTATCGCCTGGAAAGTAATTTAACACCTGAATAGCATTGGTTAAAATAAATAATGAGAAAAGAATAAGCATTAGCTGTTTTTTTACCTGAGGTATCATAGGCATATAGATCATAACTCTGTCTCCTTTCTTGACCCCCAATTTTGAAAGAACACCTGCTAAACGTGAAACCTAGAATGAAATGTAATTTTCTGTCGTCAGTACAGAAAACAATTATGGTGCCATTGAAATATCCTATTTAAAAAGGCAATTGTCCATATGATATAATTGAAGAAGTTGTATTCTGTTACAGATTATTACAATAATACTGATATTCTATGCTGGGCTGAAATAATTTGAACCGAGCGGGCAACTCAAAATATATAAACCCGAAGAACCAAAAATCAAAATACACACTCAACAAGTTCATTTAAAATTAGATGACACTACATGCTAACTAATATCACCATAAAATGTTTGACAATTTGACTTGAACATTCATGATATCATGATATGACAAACTTAAGAGAGGGTCAAATTATTAGACACACGGAGCACTGTTTCAGCAAAATGATCCACACATGAACTCATTGGCTCATTGCAATTACAGAAAACTTTAAATATATGTTGCTATGATTTGACTTTCAGCAGGCGGGCAATACCTACTTGGTCTAATAGTTCAGAATAAGTCATTTTGGAAACAGATTTTGTGACTGGGCTGTCATGTATAATTGCTGGTTGTGATCCACGACCCTTTTCAACATGCCTGTCGACTGCATTGTAACAATGATTGATTTCACCTCCAAGAAACCTGTAAAAATACAGCCAGTCATAATAAACAAAATCTCCGAAAATATATTTTCTTTATATTCCATTTTTCCCTTAATTAATAGATGTTCAGTCAGACATTCAAATTCTAGATTTCAGATACAGGATATTGACTGTGACAAACTTACAAGTAAATAATGCTAGTTAATCACATGTTTATGGTCAGAAGGGCAGATTTACAACAATAGGATTTACATATTTATCTGGGGGAGAGGAAACTCAATAACACGACTTTATCATATGGCACACCACAGCCTCTCATAGAGTTACCAGGCCATGTCGGGTATTGGTTTATTTAGCCAGTTATTTTTTCAGCTGCATGGTCTTGATAGTGGAAGAAATCGACTCGCAGATAATTATCCCTCACAGGATTCGAACCTGCGAAACCAAGCAGGGTAATCAAGGTAGTTACAGTAGCGAGCATATTGTATGTATGTATGTTTATTCGTCTCGTAATAGTGATAAATAAATAAATGAACAATTATTATTATTTAAGACGGGATGCATGCACAAGACCGTACTGGCCTAAAACACAAATGTGCGCCATGCACCCTTTTTGACAAATATAAAACAAAAAACATTAGATTAAATATGTATAATAAGGTCCCTTATATAGACAGTTGTGCAAGGTGGGGCAATAACGCTTAGCATGGTGCACCAGAACGCTGAAACGAATGAATCAATTGCAAGTTTTTAAATTTGAGGAATATTCATCTAGGTATATTAAAGGATATAAATATTTTTCGTATACTTTTGATTAAGAATCCAGTAGGCCTATATAAAAAATATTTAGCAAAAACAGTATGAACAAAATGTCTCATGTGCTACCATTTGGTGAATGGAGGATTTGAATGATCGATAACTTTGTTCCATTTCTTGAACCATGTTAAATCCTCTGCTGCTTCAGCCCAAAATTCTTCCCGACAGTCCAAACTTTTTTTGTGTGCTTCATGGTAGGCTGTTGACTGTGTTATCGATAAATAATTATGAATTACATGACATCGCAATAAACAGTAGAATGGAGTAAAGATATTTTATTCTGAAATATAGAGAAAGGGCAAGCAATTGCTTGGAATAGAAAATCATAATGAAGCAGTAAGGGATACTATTTTACTGCAACCAAACCTTTACTTGACATCTCATTGAAATCAAACCACTCCCTAATTCAGTCCTTCATTAAAATGTAATGTAAATTGATTTAAAATAAAATTGTATTGCTTCTCCCTTGTTGAAATGAATTGCAACATTTTTCATGACAATCTTTGTACGGTAACTGCTAATTTTAATTGTATTTTATTGAAGTATTCAACAGCAAGTTTTGATTAGGGAATCTGCATTAATACCAATGCTGCAATGAAACATAGATAGTTGACAACATGAGACTGTGAGATTATTTGGCCTACCGTACTGCTGCCTAATTACTGAATTACGATACCGCAGATACAACTTTTACATATATCTGTATAGTTATTTTTTCTTTGTAAAATATTGAATATGGAAAATATAAACTAACTTACATAAGTTTTTGCAGTCAATTTTGGCCGAATTGCGATTCCAGTTCGTCTGATTGCCACCGAAGACGCCGACATTTCCGCAGATTGAATGCTGCAGCTGCCTAGCAAGTTTACACGAAGCAGCGCAGAGTGAGTATCTTATGATCACTATGCCCAATCAGGCGTGGGCTATGCAGACATTAGAAAACGAATAGGCGCAATATTTTATCTCGTATACTGTAATTGTAATTGATCCCATTTAGCAAGCTAGACTGGTCATCTGAATGTTTTAGTTGGTCCTCCAAATGGAAAACTGACATGCAAAGCTTGCTGTGCATATAACTCTGTTCGAGACGGAAAAAAATGAATTTTCGAGTTAATCCAACGCAAAATTCTAAATAATATTGCTTCAGACTTTGAAGCAGCGAAGAATAAAATCCGCAAGGTATATGAAAAGTCTATAAATACATATATAAAATGTCTCGAAATTAGCAAATGCACTTCGTCATTCGCATTCCCCATTCAGTGATCATGCTTGATCGACCCTAGTCTCGGAACAATATTGCGAGAATACCTAACTTTCATTGTCCAAGATCTCTCGAAGAATAGACCTCATTTACAGAAAAACAAAGGAAATGTTTGCTTTCAAGGAGGTGTCAGACACGACTGAGGAAACAGGCAGCGAATTTATACCTGGTATTTTTATAAACAGCGAATACAGAGATGGCAAAAAATAGTTATTTGAATTCGATGATTCTTATTTTAGTTATGTCGTTGTATGTCAGAGATGCTGAAAGCCTATTGTGTAAATACGGATATAATATTCAATATGAAGATAGCAAAGTCGAACTCGCTCCACAGAGTTATATTTGTGCAACTTTGGAGCCACCAGGGTGCTTGACTCTCGGATTTTCAGGCAGTTTGCACAGGACCGATTTAGGATGGAAGAAAGGTCAGTGAAAGAAAGAATTTTTTAAAATTAATAACCATATGTTTAATACCTGGAGAATGTTAGTGTTTGGAACTGTGAAAACATATGCAATAAAGTTTACGGAAACGTGTGAGCATTGATCATTCGTAATTTTGACTATTTTAACTTGTACCATAATCTTTCTCAGCTTCTGGAATGATATACCATTGTGATCTCACATCATCATGTGGAATGTATTGCCAGAGGCCAAACACCGTGGCGAGACTGCTAAATATCGACATTCATGATATCATTGGCGAAGAACTCACGTAAGATTGTCACGAGTTAAGCATTACATAATATAGTGCAGTGATGGCGAACCTTTTTCAAGGAATGGGTCAAAAATTTTATTTTCATCGCGGAACTGGAGTGAGTGGGTCACAGATATTTAATCAATGTTTGTATCTATGAAAAACTTCTGAAATCCTATAAGCTTCTGTAGGTGGTGGTGTAGTTTTGTGCTTTACTTATGTAGGACTTCTATCAGAGACTTTTTATGGCACTGGATTTTATAAAATTAGAGTACGAAAACACGCATATGAATAACCAAAAACGTTTAGGATGATGCGGCAAATTATTTTACGGTTACAAAGAGTTTCGAGGTAATTCAACTCTGATAGTTTTATATTTTTCAATCAGCTTTCAAGCACATTAAGGCACTTTTACACTGCCCGATTGTTATTTCAGATTTCTAGGTTTTTATTTCAAGTTTGGAAGATTTTGCTTTCTCAACGCCATTGTAGGCGAGAAACTAATAAAATGCAAAGTAACATCTAGTTCTCTTATAACCCCTAAAACAGTCTGCAGATGTACTTCCGAAAGAGACAACACGTTGCGAGAAATGAACAGATCAATTGCATTGTTGTGTCATAAACGATGTCAGAGCCAATAGCTGAATAACGATACACAGCGATGCAAACATGCGTCCAACATTAAGCGTTTTGAAAACTACCATAACGGCACAGAAATTAACAATTTAAATGAGCGATCGCAGCCCTTACTGCCCAACTGACGGTACATTATAATAGTTTAGTTATTGTTAGATTACTTTAAGGCCGGTTTTATCAATTTTTTATCACTAATATATTAGCAGTTTATTTTTAAATTTTATTCGTGCCTTGGCGGGTCACGAATAAAACGACATGGGTCACTTTGTGACCCGCGGGTCAGTGGTTCGCCATCCCTGATATAGTGTATACGAATGGTGATCGGAAGGCTTGTCCATAGGAATGGGATGGGACAGCACACATTTGTATATCCCATGGGGCTCGTGGGACACGAAAACCTTATGATTTTCGGGGAAATTATGGTAAAACATTTCGTTATGAACTTCGTTTCCATATATTTGAGCATAGCTCTCTTGTTAGTTATAAAAAGCCAAATATATTCAGCATTAACAATATACTTCGTGAAGGGGGCTGATGGACACAGCCCTAACCTGGTACACAACCCGAGTTTAGGTTGTAGGCCACCTTGGTGCGCATACTTCAGGAGGTCCTAGTTATAGGTATAAAGTTAACAAAGTCCGTAAATTTTGTTGTTTTGCATGTCTATTCGTACATGTAGTCATGTTTATTGTTTAGTGGACGCTAAACCTAAATTTAACAATTTTTATTTACTTTTATTCCAATGGGAAACCCATGGGATGGGATAGGCATAATTGCTATGGGATGGGATGGGAATGGGACAAATATATTATATCTCAATTGCAAAATACAACGCATTATGGGCCTGCCCATTTATTTTGAGAGTTTTAACTCTCCTTGATGCATAAACCAAACTTGGTCAGAGGCGTATTCAAGCCCTGAACGGCTGGATGTCATTGTCATAGTTTTAGATATCGTTTTGGAAAGAATATCCTGAGCTCAGTGACATATCCATTAAATTACTGCCGAAATTAAATTACTTATCGTTATGAACCGTTTGGAAGTCAACGCCCTACTTCTCACTGACAAAACTTCCACGCACGATATCAAAAGAACAGCAGTAAAATTCTCATTGAATTGAATTGTCTGCTTTTGAGTTGCATACTTTTGTAGTATTTACAATCGTTTAATTATGTTTGAAGTTTTTTGATATTTTAGGTTGATTTGGAGGTTAGTTTTGAAATTTTTCCGGTCCGCAAACTAAAAAAGGTTGAGAACCACTGGAATATGCCATATAGTCAATATCTAACTCGACTCAAGAAGGATATATATTTATTTTTCCTGTTGTATTTAAATGTGGGATGAAGTTATGGCGCCCTTATTCCTACCACAAGTGATCCCAGATGACAGAACTTGAAATGTCTCGAAATGTAACGTTTTACACCGATATATATTTTCTCCAGTAAAAGTGCAAATTCATTAAGACTCCGTGTGTTCTTTCGCATAATTGATTGTTGAAGTATAAAAAATTTGAAAAATTATTGTTATTATTCCAAAAAGGCCTTTAAATAATTTATTTCAGGTCCTGCAATGAAACATGTTGCTTCGAACACAATTGCAACGCGTCATCAAGATCTTTATATTCATTAAAAACAGTTTATTTTCTGTCTCTCTTCATAACTTTCATGTCTAGCTAATGAAGAACTGAACTTTTCGGAATTATCGATTGTTTGATGTAGGCAAATTTTGACGCACTCAATAATTTTTTTTTTGTTCAAAACAACTGGTAGAAAACAAAGAGTTGCCAATCGTATCTAAGATTTCATCTTCGACTGATATAGTTTGGTATGCATTTTCGTATCATGTTCGAATCAGAAACAAACTTAATCAATTCACAATAATGTGTGCGTTATGTTTTCAACACATTTACAAGAGTTTTTAATGTTTACCATGTGAATGCGTGTCAAAGTTTTGTCACGTCTTTTATCAAAATTTAATTGAATATTATAAATAATAAAAACAGATATGTATTACCTCCATTGATTTTTTTGACTTCCTATCGATCAATTTCGACTGAAGAAGCTGTGATTTAAAACATGATTTACATCAGCGCCAACCAATCTTTGCTCCAAAATAAATTCCCTGGAATTTTACAACAACTCCCGTTCAAGTTCTTATGTTTTCACGTTTTTGAAAGTAAAGCGCAAACTTTTAAATCTTGCAGTTATCTAAATAAATATCGTAATGCAGCGACTGCTGCAGAAAAATGTAAGATGACCACCAAGAAGACAAAATTGATGTTGTGAAGTATTTTTATAATCATCTTGTCCTCTGCATTGGTAATAGGTAAAGTCCGTTAAACTGCACTAATTTAGGTTTGAATGCAAATCAATCAAGTATTTTAGTGAACAGAAGAGCGTTTTGTATAATTGTTGTTTTGATTCATGTTCGGAAGGTTGGGACTTTCTCACTAATTATCATACCAATCGTTTTGAATTTTTTAATAGCGAAAGATGTAGGGGTTTGCTATTACATCATATTACGCCATTACATCATCATATTCTTTCATATCTTCGTCGCTGGCTTCAATGCAGCTCGTTATTTTGTGACCCGTTTTGCAAACTCTAAATATCTGATCCGTTGTATAGGTTATTCATCCGACCGATTACTGCGAATGAGTGTTAACAAACGAAATGTTGGTGGTATAGTATCACTTGACTTCGGTTCTATATATTTTCAATTTTTTTTTCCTGTTTCTTCGCACGTCTTCCACGCGATCTCATTTTCTAATTATTGATTGAATATATATAATTTTGCAACGTCTCGGCATTTTGTATTCCGTTAAATGACAATCTACAATACATTAAACTAAAAAGTGATTATTCTAAATTGCCTATATACATACAAATTCAAAACACACAAGTTGACTGCACACATTTATTTTACGCCACCCGAACAATTTACGTACATAAAATTCAAAGCAAGAAAAACATTTATCACCAAAACCCTTTTGTACAGAGCAATCGACCAGATGTTGGACAAATTTTGCTAATAAGTGCAAGGATAGTGCATTGTCCCAAATTAAGACATATAAAGATAATTTTTAAAATTTAAAGTAACATTAGTGCAAGTATGTAGCCTTAAAATATACAATGAAGCTGACAATACAATAATTATTTCCTTTTTATGAGTGACGTGTGCAGTCAGTTGTTGATCTAGTCTGAATCTGACATTTTCCGTTGGCGAGAATCAGAATGAGCCTGAAAATGAATATGATTTGCAAAAGATAATGAAAGTGTCTGTCTTTTAATTTATAGTGGGAAATGACAGATGGAAATGTTTTAACAACCAGTGGTGCACTGAGGAGTTTTGATTCAAACATTTGGCCATTTCGCAAAAGATGTAAATTTTATCGTCTGTGGGTGTGTACAAGTGCAGCACTATGTAAACGGCCTATTCGAACAGTGATCGGCCGTGGCTTGAATATATACACTACCATTTGCCATGCATACGAAAAGCCGTTTTTGTGATACTGGCATTCACCCCAAATATCCTTCTACCCTACTCTAGAGCCTCCTCTTATTCTCACGTGTTCAAACCTAACGTGAAATTACAGTAACCAGCGTTCGGTGCCAAGAATTAGGCCTACCAATCTGTGTTGATCTAATCTAATGACTTCACGAAAAACTTACGCTTTTGTACGCCGACTCATATTCCTCAACCACCCTTCGTAGTGACATTTGTTCTCCAGTCGCGAGACGGGACGGTACAGCTTGAAGTCTCCATTCTTCTCCTTCCAGCAGTTTTTGGTATGTGCTGATCTCAAAATCGAGACCTGAGAAAAAATGACATTCGATGAAAAGGTATATTACACAAAGTCTAATGTTTCAAATAAGGAGTCAGAAGAAGCACATGGAGACCCCCCCCCCAAAAAAATAGATAAATAAATAACCTATAGATTCCATAATGTTACATGTTAACCATGACACATACTTGTGTTATGCATAATCTCGTACCATATCCCTCGTTTTGCGTGATAATGAGGTGCACAATGTGATTAACATGTGTTTTTTGAGTCTTCTGTTAAATCTTTGTTAATACTCACCAAGTTTGACCGAAAGAAGTTCTTGGTATTCCCTCAATCTGTCCGACATCTCTGACTTAATCTTGTCGAGTTGGGCTTGAAGATCGGTGATTTGATCTTGATATCCTCCGATATCACGGTTGAACCGATCCTCCACATCGGCGAGTTGGCGTTCAAGATAGTCTTTCTAAATTATGTAATAAAGATATCTTTAACAAAAAGCCACCAAATACAATGTTGCGTAACGCTGTAACAGAATAGTATTGCAAGTTGGTTGAAAAGATAACGAAGCCTCATGAGATAAACATGTGACTGTTATTTCACAAATTTCATTCCCTGTATAGCTGGTAAAACATTCATACACGAATAAAATAACGATCGTAAAGATCCAGATAACTATGATTGCTTAGCAATGGTTTCATGATGAAAAGATTTCTGCACTTCTCACAATATAGATCAGTATAATTATGTTACATATACTGATATAAACTTACGTTAGATCGGAGGGATTCGATTTGTGCGGTATGGCCGCTGACTCTGTTTCTGTATTCGCTGAGTTCAGATTGCGATTCCTTGAGTCTGTTGGCATCGCCGGATACTTGGGTGTTGAGATCATTGAGCTTAAATGAAAAGTCATCGATATCATTATGTCGATGAATGAAACCTCACCACTAAATATAACAATGTACCTTCAATGATATTTAATATTGTGGTAACAGCTGTAACTAATTTAATAAAAAAATCTAATTACCTTGCTGCTGTACCAGTTCTCGGCTTCTTCCTTGTTTTTCTTGGCTGCAAGATCGTATTGAGCTCGGATGTCTCGGAGAAGATCGCTGAGATCAGGACCATGGGTGTCCATTTGCACTCGGACATGGTCGGTGACAAGTTGAGATTTGAGTTCGTTGATAATCTGTGTAATATTGCATGAACGTGAGTGCTACACATAATGTATAAATGGTGGCGATTTCAACCACTTGACAATCAGCTTATTAGAAAGTATGAAAATGCTTGATCACCTTGCACTAGTAGAATTACACAAGGCATGTTCATTGTCAAAGATTGGAAGAAAACAAGATGAGAATATATCTATACCTCGGTGTGAGCAAGATTCTCAAAGTCGAGTTCTTCTCGGAGTGAAACAAGTTTTCTTTCGAGATCGACTCGGGTGACTGTACACTCATCAACATTATTTCTGAGATTTGCCAATTCACGCTCCAATTCTTCACGATCCTGAATTGCATTTTCGTATCTAAAAAATAGGATGATTTGGTTATTTTAGTAATGGGATAAAAGTATCAATTTTTGTGTCTAAGATATAAAAATTCTTTATGATATATTTAGCCAATCTAACTCAATTAAAAGTATGCACCAACATATGCCTAATATTGCTCAGATAGTGTTGCATTTGGCGTACAATGGCAACATGTTAAATTCATTGATATGTTGATATGAGATTTCCTTACAAACATTTTAGATTCGCCTCGCTACAAACAAATAATAAAATTGAACATAGTTTGCTTCAGGCGTATGATAAATGGTTGAGAAATGAGTTGCTTGGTTTATGAGCATCTTAGTTAGCTTTTCTATATCCATATATAGATGCGTTGCGGTGTTTGTTGCCGTGGAACATAATCCTAACGACCGGCGTATCTTACGCCTAGGGCACGGCAAACGTGTGTGTGTCAATGTGCGTAAATATTAACAGTGAATCCGCTCGCACATAGGGCGTGGTACATCGTTTCAAAACTCTTTCGACATTACAAACTTTTAATTTTCAAGGTTTAATCTATTATGGTATGCTTTGTTGTCATAACAAAACCTTCTAAAGAATTTGTTACATGTCATATCTGTAGAGATATTACTAATTGTATAAAAATAATGTTTCCAATCACATTTAGTTCAATTTACAAAAGTCTCTTGATCTAAATCTTTTGAAAGTGATCTAAACCTTTTAAACTTCTAAATAGGCTTGCACGTAATTTACGGATTTACGGAATTACGTAATTATTTGGAGTTACGGAAGGGAAGTTACGAATTACGTAAAGTCGTAATTATTGCAAACGAGCTTTCTTCAAAGCAGTCAATTTCGTCGATTGCGAAAAATGAAAGCTCAACAAGTAGAAGAGAGTTCCGGTATTCGCAGCCGTTTTTCTCTCTTTTCTCTCTCTTGTTACGTAGGTGAAGGAAGGCATGACGCGTTGCCATTTACTAACATATTATCAACTTCTCTGGCATGGCCAATGTAAATTATTAACGTAGTTAAGGGGAAGAACTGAGTAGGGCCGTTTGACGCCAACACACCTGGTTTTAACTTCTCTCATCTTATCTAGCTGGCCATGGCCAATGTACATAATAACCGTAGATAGGGGGAAGAATTGTGTTAAGACCGATGGACGCTAACACGCCCGGTTTCAACTTCTTCGGGTGAAATGACTAATGAACGCAGGAGATCAATCTTTCAAACATGGTCTATCAAACATTTGTATCATTTTACTTTTATTTATTATTTACTTGTTCCAGTTTTCCGTTACTTATGGTATATATATATATGTTCCGTTTTATTTTATAGTCACGCGTTTAAATAGTGGGAATTCCCCACCAAGTGTGGATTAGCAATGCTTAACCATTCTTTATTGTTAATATCAACACTTGATATATGAACATGGAATATCATACTGTTTTTGGCTGTTTTATTTCAGACTTGGGGTATAAACAGGAAAATATCCATAACCTTTCAACACGACGATCTTGTGAAATTTAACGAAGAGCTTTCGCGACGAATTGGAACCAAATAAGCGAAAAGAGCGATTGATCACTCGCGCCAATACCTCGCCGTGATAATTAATGTCGCGCTTATCAAATAGCAATATGACGACAAAAGAGAGATTGCGTAATGAACCAACGCAACTTCGTCTTCTCGGCATCGGTAAAGCGATTGAGACGGCAGAGAAACAGCAAAACGACGGATTCCTCGCGGACCGCTAAAAATTTAACTGCTATCATATATAATCAAATATGAGCCAGTGTGTTTATTCTGTGCGAGATCCATTTTCTATTACAAAATCTTGATGTTCTGTTAACGGTTTTATCGTTATATATCAGTCCGGACTTGGCCTTGCTCATGATGTTTTTCACAATTCCTCTCAATATTTCGGCCATATATGATTAACTGTCTTACCAAATGCGGCAACTTATTTTGATTTATCGTCGACTTGAATACCACCGGCACTCGACCAAACTTGTGTCAATCTTGGCCGATAGGATCGCCGACTTGAGTTAGCAAATAAATGTCGTGAGTGTAAAATAAATGTCACAAAATGCATTGTTTTGCGATATAACTTTGTATTTTCGGAGAAGGCATATCATATAAGTTCTATTTAAATTATACTCAAATAAATAATATTTGATCTAAATTTATCGCAAATAATGTTATAAACATTCAGTCCGCGAAATGATTAAATGTAAAATGAAGCATGGTAATCGGAATATCGTCAATAAGTCGACATCAATAATTATTATTATAAAATGCTAACAAGGCAGTAATGTCGGATAATGCAGAAGACGCTGCAAAAACAAGTCTTCGTCGCGAGGAAATCGCAAGTATAATCAAACGAGAGAATACGCTCGTCGTTGTTAATAAATTAGAAACCCGTAATTTTTATTCAGTACTAAGGTGGTTTTAAAAAACTATCGTTTCCATAAATATCCGTATACCAGTGTCGGTAATGATAAAATAAAATTGATCGCATAAAAATGGGACGGTTAATTTGCGCAACGGTAGATAAGGAAAAACCAAAGCTAACACAAGAAGATGAAAATCAGAATAAAATTACATGGAATTCATTTCCTTACTATTGAGTCTTCAACATCTGGCCGACGCGCGTCGTAGTACTGCCGCAAGAATATGAAAACCAACTTCAATGTCCCATTCGGAAAGACATGGATTCAATGTGGTGTTATGATAGGTTTAAATGCGTGGAAAAATATCGCAATTACGGGGTCATTACGTAATTGATTTTGCCGTAATTACGGAATTGATTTTTGTCAATTACGTGCAAGCCTACTTCTAAATATGTTGAAATTTATTTTGGAAAAACATAATAATTTTTAAGATTAAGGCAAATAGCCTAAAATCTAGGTGAAAATTGAGTGCTTGATTTGAATCATTCAATTTGGAAGAAGTGAGAATTTTATGACATGATTGAAAAGATAACATGAACATACTCTCGTTTCAAGTCACCGACATCAGTTTGCATGTGTTCAACTTCGGCTTCAATCATTTTGCGATCACCGTTCAAAGCATCCAAAAGTCCCTTCAATCTCCTCACTTCAGCATTGTACAAATCATCAAGTTGTGAATCATACTTCACTGACATTTGTCGAAGTTGAGCATCCAGAAGTTTGTTTTGTTGCTCCAGATATCTCACTCGCTCAATGTAGGAAGCAAAACGGTTGTTCAGAGACTGTGTTAAATTAGGTTTTTTGTGAAAAATTATATTCCGAACTGGTTAGAAAAATAACAAATAAAGTCTTGGGTGATTTTGAGGCACTCGATGAAAATATTTTCGAATCTGACAAATGGTGAAATATATCGGTTAAATTACCATAAGCTACCAGTTTATAGAATCTGGCAGCAAGATAATATTGTATTTAAAATATGTTGAAATTAATTTATGTCAGACAAAAAGTTCATCAAGTATTAACCATCCTATGTTTGATGATGAAGGCGTTTACAAACCTTGAGTTCTTTCTTTTCTCCTGACCTCATGCTTCGAAATTCTGCTCCTCCCTCTCCTCCAAGTTCTTGAAGATCTTTCTCACTGATGTAAGTTCCTCCTCCACCATATCCTCCATCATAAGCAGAATAGTAGGATGACGACATCTGAGAAAGAGAATTGGATTTGGTAATTTGTTGCAAAAGTGAAAACATTCTACCAGCATGATGGTTTCTTCGTGAAAAGGCCCAGAATAGTGAAATTTCATGCTATAAGTTAGTGATGAATGGGGGTAATTATGCTTGTTATTGCACATAGACTACCTAGTACCAAATTCATCTTTCATTCGTATCAGCGGAGAGTGATATGTTAAGCAATACTAGTCACATATATTATGAAATAAAGTTTTTGATGATAAAATACCTTTTTGAGATTATTGATATATAAGAAAACTGATGAATTATTACAGTAAATTACATGAAGTGATTTTTATTATTTATATACACCATATGACCTTACTCAAAAAAGCCTCATAAAAACAGTGCGGTATGTTGTATGGTACATAATTTCAAAGTAAGGAATAATGAATTAGATAAAAAAGAATCAACAAAATAGATCAATTATATAGCAAGAATTTTAACATACCGTGGGTGCAAATCCAAAGTCTGAGTAACGAGAAGATGTAAATCCCGGGTTAGTTCCGTAACCAGAGACACGAGTTGATGAAGAATATCCTCCTGCAGGACTTCCAGACGACGATGAATACGACTGTGTGACGACACGCTGCTGCGTTACGCCTGACTTGATTGGAGAAGAATACATGGCGAAATTAGTTTGCTGTGAAAAGAAAAACGGAGTGTCAAAGTCGTAAAATAGCAATTAAATCCATTTCGTCAATTTTCAGAATTCTCAACCATAAAGACGTTAAGAAACATTCTATGGAGATGCAGTATTATACTTTATTGCTCACAGCGGGTCAAAATTATTGCACCAATCACTCAAATTTAATTGAGGGTGTAAAGCGATTTGACGTTAATTAACAAACTTCTAAAACGAGCCGGAGGGCAATATTTTTGCCAACTTCAACCAAAAATAAAACTTTTCCGATCTTAACAAATCCAGATGTTCAAGTGATTCAAATGCGAATGAACGTTGAATTATAAATTTTGTAATCCTCATCGCAACGAATCGTTATTTTTAATAAAAGGGTTATCGCTACACCAATTTTATTTTTGATAGATTATTGTTCAAATAACATCGGCAAAAATTGATTCCATAAAATGCATGCAAAAGCCGATCAACTAAAATGAATTCTTCTGTATTGACTTTTGTTTAAAAAGAACTGCCTCTAAAAAGTAAAACTATTGATAGTAGGAAAAATATTCGAATCGATTCGGAAAAATGTTCGGTTTGACTATGAAACCAATTCATATTTTAGTCATCCATGTGCGTAATAGTTCCAGGTGACGTTAGAGTAAGGTTTCCTTTTGGTCGTTTTAGATCAATTGGCAATCAGACGCAGAGAGCAGATGCATAAGCATATATTTCCCTATATGCAGTACTTCAATATTAACACAATAACACAGTTTAAACGATGACAACCTACCATATCATAACCTTGAAAAATGAAAAAAGTGGAAGAAACACCCACTTACCTGACAACGTACGGATTTCACGTTGCGCTCTCGACGAATGAAGATAATAAGAATATATTTTATGTTATGAATGATAATCGAGCAATATTCTCGGGTGCCGTGAAAGAACGTTTAGGTTTACAGATAAAACGCCCCGGGTGTGCCGATATTATAGAAATCTTGTTGTAATTTGTTAAAAATGCCTCTGGCGTATGGCATATTGTTGAATACGCAAGTTATACGAGGTCATAAAACTATTATATTGAAATGCAAAACTTCAAAAACATGAACTAGTTCAATACTCCAGGTTGATTCATATATATATTTGTCATATACATAAATAATTTCAGCGAAAACTCGCACTTGAACTCGCGAATCAGCATTAGTAAAATACTCGCTTTGGTATAGTTTATATAAGATGAAAAACCATAAACAACTTCATAAACCAGGCTACAGAATAAAACTCACAATTTTACGCGCATAAAAGAATGGTTTCATTCGTCGCAAAAATTATTCAAGTTGTCCGAGTTAAATGTAATGTTAGTGTTTGTTTTTCAGTATATATATTTTCTATGCCCATGCGAAATATATCTGATTAGGCATATATTGTAATTGAAGGCGGTATACACGTGCTTCAATGAAACGCTTGGTTTATTGTTGAAAAGTACATTGCCGAATCCACCGGTGCAAAACGTTTATGTATATCATTACAAGAATCTATTACACTGAAAAGGTTTGAGCCGCTGATGTAGTGTAAAACGCATAACATGTGTTAATTGGAGGAATATTTTAGTCAGCGTAATATTAAAAAATATTTTATCTAGTTTTAGCTTGAAGAAATCAAATATATATCATAAAATTCCACCAGCGTGGTCAATCGCTGGTAAGGAGTATTTCCAAGATACAGTCTTGTGCATAGGCATAAGTTCGTTCGATGTCGTTTGAAATAATAATTAAACAGTAATTATAAATATAATGTCGCGAAAAACGAATCTTTTCCAAAAATGCGATTTGTTGAGCGACCACGGCTTCAATGAACCCATTTTTATATGTCAGCTGAAACCCCTTTCAATTGCATATGCATTCTGAACTTTTATTTAATGCCGTGGAATAATCTAATGCCACGTAACAACACAAATCGCTGTTACTTATATATATTATAATCAACCCAGATAATGAATTTGATGAAAGTCATTTAGAAAACCGTTTTCATGTATTGAATATCATTAAGTTACCTTGTACCGAATACTTCATCACTGTCGTATTTCATCGCATTGAAGTGATTTAGTTTAGGATCTGCGACCTTCTATCGTTTGAAATTTATGTAATCGGGGACAGACAGATTCAATGGGCAAACACGGTGGATTCAGCCGTGATGGATGCCGCTTCAATTCACACGATCAAATCTCGTTTAGTGTGTATATATGTCACCTAATATATCTATCTATCTTAGGATTAATGACTTTGTGCATTGAGTACTATTCCGTTTGTGCGTGAAAAAATTTGCGCTATATTTATATTGTTGGTTATATCTAGTATATATGTTAGCTACCGCGATATTCCTATATTATGTGATGATTATTACCTGTATCATCAGCTTGGGATTATTGCAGATGGCTTGTTTGTAATGTAAATTTGAAACCGAGCAAACACGTGACTAAAACGATTGCCTTCAGTTTCATTCCGGTCAGAAACCTGCGTTTTATTTTACATCAAATAAAGTAAAATAGTGCACTTGCATCTTCACGTTGTAAAATTATGTATGCTTGGCCCAAGTTTCAATATTGAAGCACCGTCCAAGCTGATATATTCAGCAGTTTTCTTTCTGTCTCTAATCTTTTTTGCGCCATCTGCCATTTTGATTTGTAAGCCATAGGACTATTCTATATGTACACATTCATTTTTCGAGAATAAAAGACCAAGCTTCACCAATGACCGACCCGGTTCTAGTGTGAAGTTCAGTACCACAAGTACTTCTTGTGGGCGTGACATAATCATTTTTGAAAATGCTATTCCTAACCCCCATATGATTACGCCAATGCGACGTCATGTAGCTTGCCAAACTATAGTTTCTATAGAAGGCAATTTTGTTCCATGTTTCCATGGAAATTGCGAGTCTTTTCCCTTTATCCACGACATTAGACTAGCGGGTTTTAACTTTGTTGTAAGCTTATCAATATCAATTATTATGCAGAGCATGCAGAACTTGCATGCAGAGACATTTGTGATACACGTTGGAAGTGCACACGCACACTCCCGCTATAAACAACTATATGTATTGCAGATATTATATAATATTCAAAATATTTCAAAAAGTAATTAGTCACATGATCAAAAAAATCTTCTTTTCCTAAAAAATTAGTGTACATAAGTAAGAAATATAAGTATCATATTTCATGTTGAAGCTTTTTTACAGGCATTTACATCTGTTGAAAAAGCAGCTTTATATGCTTCTGGGACATTCAGTTTGGATTGGTCTCGATCAAAACTAAAAGCTTTGGAACGAAAAGTTCGACGCATCGTTCTGTAAGCTTCACCCGTTCACTCACTGCTCTTTTCTTCGGGTCATGCCGGTTTCAGTTCATTCACGATCCTTCCGATAGCATTGCTCACATCTGCAAATTTCTTCCTCAATGCATCTTTTATGTAACATATTTCCGGTCTTTGATCGGTTTCATATTCCAGACATTTGTTCATATTGTCTTCCAAATGCATGATTACAGTTTCATTGCCATCGGTAGTTGTTTTGACCGCTGGATCCTCTTGTAACGAAGGCAAATTTCCTTTAGTAATGTTGTAAATAACGACTTGACTTTCTATGGTTTCAAACGCATGGTTTCATGAGCACACAATAAAATACATCGCACGAGTGCGATAGTTGACCAGGATTCGACACAACGCAAATTTTCACAATGATTCGACACATCATGAATTTTCAGAAGGGTCCGTTGTTTCGTAACTTCACGAATTGCATAATTCACGTTATGCACTTCGCTGAGTTGTTTTGGCTTCACGGATGACATTTGTGACGCATGTGCAGCCAGATTGAAACCTCTAGTCTAGAATTACAAATCTTTACATTGAAATTTTCAGTAATCAAGATATTTCCGGATTCAAATCGTTAGTTATTATTTCAATAAATCTACCACCATGGAGATTACTTAGCCTACCGCTGTCTCAAACAACAAACGCAGTCTGGGAGTCAAAGGTACAATATTTGGCGTTCCAGAAGTGTGTGTACAAATATTGAGGTAACTATTTGTTTGCCTACTATACATCAAGTTGTGTAGAGGGACTGGAGCTGGGCATTTTCGAATACCTGATGATTTCAGAATCGAATCGAATATTTTTTTCGAATCAAATCTCGAATAGTTGGGAGATATAATTATATGTAACTTTCTTTTTGTACTGGGTCCTCCAGACACATAAATTACTGGAAACGTAAAATACATCACTCAGACAGTTTGCTGAGCGTTCACGCACAATAAAAAACCCGTTTTCATCAATAACTCTTTACAGAAAAGAGTCATATGTCAGAATTGCCTTGAAAAAATATGGCTTTAATAAAAAAATTGAGAAATTTACCTCGACAATTGGCTGAAAGGAAAAAAAACAAGATGGCGGCGATTCGAAATTTTGCTCTGAACCGATTCGAATAATTTACTATTCGATTCGAAATGCCCACCCCTAACTGAAGCTAATGGGCAGGGGGTATATTCACTTGGCTAACACAGACAGTCCCCGAACTCGTAATAGAACTTAAATAAAGGAAAGGAAAATCGGCCTACCCGCTAACTTAGGACTGGGAGTACCCAATTTTTTCTACGATCAAATCGCTAAGCGTTTCTCTTGGAACATACTCCATATTTATGCCTATCGAATATTGCAATATCGACTATCAAATTCTGCAGTCGCTTCACTTAACTGTATACAGAAGTATTGTCTTAAAAAGCACATTTCCTTATGGAGAATCCCCACGCCCCATCGCCATTAAAATACCTCTAAGCAACATCAAACATTTTCGAGTTAAAGATTATCGAACTATAATCATGGATTACTCTTTAATTTTTGCTTGCTTAGTAACACCGCGTCTAAATTCTGTCATAACTTTTTAGCCAATATCACCCGAACACAGCAGATGACGAATCATTCGTCAAAATATTCATACACATCAACTTTACCATATCATGGTCATTACGAGAGCATCAGTCATCTTATTGGCCTGGAATTCACTTCACACTACGGCATTCATGAAAGAATTTTACCATACGAAGACATCCTGCATGAACACGAAGCTCACGTTCCATATAGAAATTGACAAAGAGTACATATCTTTGCCTTTATTTAAACGCAAATTGAGATGGTGAAAATTTCCTATTTTACATAAACTACATCGAGCTCATATTGAGATTATCAAACTGTACTTGTGAATAAAATATTTACAAGCAGACAATGTTAACCAAGCAGCACAGTTCACAAAACACGAAGAAATAACGTCATTTTTTTCCTCATTCAGTATATTCAAATGGTTCTGGAGGTTCTGGTTCGTCTCCTTCATCCTCTTCTTCTTTCTTTGCTCCTCCAGCTGAAAAATCCAAATAGAGATGAAAACAAGATAATTGAAGTGAAAATGGAACAAAGACATTATCAAAATGCAATTTTTCGAACGTTAGGGCGACCTAGCTGCCTGTATACAAACTTCAACACCTGGAATGAGCAAGTTTGGTGATATAATATTTGATTGAATTCGACCAATAAGTATTAAGTTCAAAACACCCACCTATCACAGGTTCGACAAGTTCTTCTGGTTCATCCTTTTTCTTGTCATTCAATATAATGATACCTCCATGAGTCAACTGAAATAGAAGAAAAAGTAATTATGCTTATAGGCAATTTTAGGCAGTGTTGACGGCCATTTGTAACTAATTGGTCAAGCTTAATCACAACCATGTCCATCTTTTACGGTTCGATCAAATCAGTAAAAATAGTATTGATGTCCGTGAACAAACAAACTCTTGTGCTCGTTTACGGTATTCAGTTGGATAAAAGCATAGAGCAGTAGTTTCCAACCTTTTTCGTTAAATTATTCCCTTCGCTTGCTTTGAAACTCATTATTCCCCTTCTCTATTCATAAAAACACCTTTATTTATCCAAACTCGCGGATCTTTAGATATTTTTTTCCAAATTCGCATCCACGCTTTTGTACAGTTTAGTATTGCGTGCATGAATGAAAAGGAATATTCGTAATACTACAATAAATACAAAGCAAAATTCCTCCCCAAAAACGATAAAAATTCCGGTTTGGACACTTGGTCATAGAGTTAACTAATATTCTAAAACTACGCAACCTACCGGCTTCAACGGTTCATATCGACTGTTTTCTGGCAATGATATAACTTTTAATTGCTGAGGAACAGCTCGACATGGATTGGATAATGTTTCGAAATCAGGTTCCGGCTCTTTCTTTTCCTTTTCATCGCCCTTAGAAACGATAATTAAATATTTCATTAACAAAATTTCGTTTGAAAAAGTAAAGGACAATAATAAGCGCAACCCATTCAGTTCTGAAATAAGAATCGGTGCAACATCAGATAAAATATTTGACGATATTTTTATATCAATCCTAAATTTGCATCGGAAAATTCCGTTTAAATAGAGAAGATATTGCGCACCGAAAATAGAGAACAGCTTGCACACCATAGACTTTCACGAAATCATGAAAAAAATAAAGGTGCCTTACCTCCTTGGCAGTTTTCTCTTTCTTCTCTCCCTTGTCCTTTTCCTTCTCAGTCTTTTCGTCCTTCTTTTCATCGTCCTATAAAGCAAGGTGAAGTATCTCAGCTACAGAGAAAAATAATTTACAACGTAACAATTGCAACAGCCCAAAATGCTAGTAACATAAAATTTCACGAAGACATGTTATATCCAACATACCACATCCATTTTCTCTTCCTTCAAATTCGTTGACGAAGCCGCTGAAACCAGTGGCGTGAGAGGTGGTGCAGGTGTTGTCGATACAGAAGCGGTGGCGCTAGAGGACGATCCGCGTTTTCTCTTTTCTTTCGCCTTACTTCGAGCGGTGATGGAAAGTACCGCGGCAGCAACTTTTTCCACCTCTCGTCCTTTCTTTTCTTCCAGTGGTGCGGGGTATGCGTACACAGACGGCTTTGCGTGCGATATCAGCTTAAGCTTAGGCATCTGCAACAATTAACATTACTTAAAACAAATTCAGACATTCCACAACAATGAAACGAATACAATTGTAAGAGCATATGGCTTTGTAAATCATTTTATGAATAAAAAGCATAAATGCATGATCGTCAACTTAGCAACAAACTCAGTGCTAGGGCACAACATTTCATGGCATCATGTATCAGATAAATTTCAGTGGGTTTGTCAAAACAAGCACAAACGTAATTCGTTAAACAAAATTCCACTAACCTTCAAGTCTGCATTCAGTGCCACGATCGAGGACGGTGTGAACGTAAGCGAGAGAAAATGCGAGAGTGGAAACCAGAACCAAAACTGACAGAAGACCAACATCCCGACAACGGATGACATATTTACGTGGCCTGTGCGGGACTGCAGAGAAAGGGTCAAGTTGCGTCCACCTAAAAATAAATGATTTATTTATTATATATTACTTTGCTGTTTTACTGTTCTACTGTTTTATTCAAAGCATCTAAAGGCACATACCACTCGCTAGGGGTAATATGCTTTTATAAGACAAAGATATGCAGAGGTAGCTGGATAGCAGGAACGTAACTACTTCCTTAGACAGATTAATTGATATCATATTAGTTACTTTCATTGGTAATTTTGGCTTGGGTTACAAATATTTTATTCCTCTTTTGGACAATTCCAAAATACGTATTCGCAGAATACAATCTCCAATTATCCAAAATGCACTTGGTGAAAACGAAAATTTAAATTGAGCTGGTAATAAATCCAATTAAAAAACAAATTTCCCTTAAATTTCGTTTCCATGGGCGTAACAAGATTGTATTGATTGTGTGAAAACCATAATTCACATTAAAATCAAACTCAAGTCTTGCCAAATTATTCATTGAGGCGTTACCTAAAAACGCCATGCTCAAACAATCCCAGCGAAACATAGAGACAATAACTGATTTCAAAGACCCTAAAAGTCAGCAGTGCATATTGTGATTTCTCGACAATAAAATTGCCAACTAACTGCCTTATCTAAAGGCGGAGTAAAGTGATTTTTGCATCTATGATATAATGCATAATTGACCAAAAATGATCGCTAACAATTTACATATAGCAATGTAACATTTTGCATTACTACGGCGGATAGCAATTATCGTGACTTTTCCCAAGAACTGCTAACCGCAGAAAAGAACCAACACTCACCGGCGTCCAATATCCCTTGCGCGATGATGGCGCCGTATTTTGCAATGACGTCTTCGTGTTTATCAGAAATCACTTTCCGGTAGAGTTCTCTGTAGGATTTCACCTGGGAGAAACAAACAATGGACGGTCAAATACACAGAATACATGAAGATATCGCCGGATTGCAAATATTAGGATATGTATATAGTACAAAACAAATAGGTTCATCGACATTAAAAACACAACAACATTTCCATAATTATTATTTTCAAATCTACGAGTAAAAATAAAATTGTACCAGAATACGGCGAATGTTTGTGACATGTTATCATTGTATTGAAAAAAGTTGGGATTTTCGAGAATGGAAAACTCATGAAATATTATACACTGTACTGATGTATATCGAACATAATAAGCGTCTTTTCGGAAAATTTCCCTGAAATGCAATTTCATACAACAAGATTAAATTTGCATTGCTATTTTTCAAATCCACGTGTTCCGTGTTTTAAATGGCGGGATTGTTATTACTCGTCTCGTTATGAAATGATCTGTCATCGTTCCAAAGACATATCACGGGATTAAAAAAAATATTGCATGAGCTAAATAACTCAATCAGTAGTCAATCAGCAACCACTCTTGTATAGCAAGGACGAATATAGGCGATACGAAGCCGGAATTTTGTATGGAGATGGACCAATATAAGACTACGTCTATTGCGACAAATTTTCCAATATAAATTCCACTCAAGTGCCTAAGTATCTAATCAGAAGTTCTGTCGAGCATGATCCAGAGATGATACACACTATATTGTGCTATTATTTTCCGAGTGTTTTCATACATCTGTTATCTTTAAGACGCCGACTTATCTATCAACGCCCTACGTCAGCGTGGCACACCAGCGTCTTGCGAATTACAGCAATTGATAAAAACATTAGCAAACGTCTTGCATCACCAGACATAATTTGACCTCTAACCCCGTGGATTGATTCTACACCTAATTTGCATAAACGACAGTGCCCAGAACGACAGCGAAAAACGAAATATAATGAGATTTGGTCATGTCGCTGACGCATGTAAAATTCATCAAATATGCATTAAGATGAAATGATTTTTTATGTATCTAAATCTAGCAAGAATAAAATGTTTCTATTAGCGTGCTCATTTGCGACTGTTGGCAGTTCCGCAAATGTTTATATTTATATGGAGAATTGGATATGTACGCTTCCTTTCTGAAAACACACAAAATTGACTGGAATTTCATAGTGCGTGGTATCGTACTGGACTGATCCGACGTCCGGATCGGAATGTGAAATCAATGCAATAGTACGGAATAAATTCATCGATAAAAAAATCTTATCAGGGTCGAGATTCTTTGACAAAATAGAAATGACTTTCAAGACTTCAAATTTTGTGGTCAGATTTTTAATTTTGCATATTTGTGTAAGTCTGCGTTGTCCTTATCATTTGAAAAACCATACTTTCAATGTTATTTAACGCGCATAATACGCGAAATATAAATTTCCTCAAAACTCCAGAAATTGACCAGGCATTGCTTTCAAGATAAAACGCTACTCGGTGCAAGGAATGCATTGCCTACCCATTTCTCAATGCCGCCCTGTACGATCAAAGTATTGAAGAGATTATAAGTTTGAACGCAACATTTCCATCGCAAGATTTTGCAATGAGAGGATGATTATGGGATAAAGAAAATTACCTTTGTGCGTGACATGATGAATGTTATAACGCCAACAATGGCAGTCTACTAAGGACAACAGGCAATATGAAATCAGCCGTAAAATATTTATTTGAAATAAATTTAGAACTCTTGTAAAAATACTGAAACGATCTCAAAAAATTGTCCCAATATACAGGGTGTCCAAAAAGTTCCGCCCGATATCATAGCATTACCAATTGCAAATTTGAATAAATTTTACTGTATGATAAATGGGGACTACAGCATACAACATCTATAACATCCAATTCAAAGCTATTGGGAAATCAAGAGTGAGGTTGTAATTTTAAAATAAATTAAATCCCAAAAAAGAAGATTGTGGGCAACTGGTAATACAAGAAAAACATATTTTGTTTTGAAATAAAGTCTAGAATACAGGCACGGCGTTCAAAAAAATGAAAATTCGATGAGAAAATAACCTATGAATGACCTCGATAGTTATCGGATATAAGTGTAATTGTATAAGAAGTTTGCGAGATTTCTCACCATTTAAATCATCGGCCACAATGCAATAGATAATCCAAAGTTAACAAACCCAACTCTCATCTAAGTGATCGTATTATTTACCGATAGAAAATAAAGACTTTTATTTGACGTTTGATGACAACGACAAAATATTTAAATTTAGCCATTATGGTAGGATATATTACAAATGTATCCAAGACAATGGGAGGCGTCTTCATAGAAATTTTAGTGCGTAGTCAAAGCAATTCCTACTGTTAGAAAAAGTTTAATGGAATAATTACAAACTTCAGGACCACGAGAAAAGTACGTGAAATAAATTAGGTCGACAATATATTTGGGGAAACAGTCAAAAAGCTTTTAATTGTCGCTTACGGTCAACAATAAGCTCTTCAACTGAAAATATGCGACAGTCACAAGCAACGTAAAAGTTTAATAGTCAAAAAGTACACACAAACGCGTCAAACATTTAAGAGGTTTAGTTTTATATTTACACACAATATAAAAATTGGCGTTAAAAGTTAATTATGGGCGGGGCCATGTGCACGGAGTTCGAAGTTCAAAACATGCCCGATATCGAGCAATAATGCGTACGTCATATCTATATGCATCATTGCGATATCTGGAAGTGGCAACAATATCGTTGAAACCAGTGCTTGACTGCTTCGTATGTATCTCCATTTTCTGGGCAGGTTGGTACTTTGATGCGCGATGTTTATCTCTACTCATAAGTTCTGAAGGCAATGGGCCGTGCTGCACTTCAATATCTTCAAAAAGACTGGCAATATCTACCGCGTAAATGTAGCACTTCAGGGGCACAGCTTCAACATTGATAATGTAAAATCTCCAGTTGTACAAGGTCACTGGCAGTATTATTTTCTCTGTTCATGATGGCAACAAAGTTAACCAACATCAAATAATCGCAATGACGTCACAAAGTGCCACAAACTTGTTGCGATATCAAACCAATCATATTATATTCATTACACGACTATAACCCATCAAAGAAATATGACGTATTTTTTTGAACAAACATTCAATAAAAAGGTAGAATAAACCAAGTTCTCCACAAGAATTTTATATTCGCTTCGTATTAGGTATTAATAATTTTCTAAATATTTTCTCAAATGAATACTTTGTGGCTGACCAAACAACTCGGGATAATATGATAATGCAACCCTGTGACAGTTTGTTGGACTTGCGATGGCGCGCACTTCAACAGAGCATCTTTTTCCAAACCAGACGCGTTGATAATTTTCAGGCATGTTACTATTTCTAGAATTGGGAAAAACTTTTAATTCCCATCGATTCACTGTTTCTTTTTTATACAAGGAAAGAGAAACTTTTCTGCACGGAAGAAGTTTGGGCGACATAAGCGTTTGACGACGACATGTCATGTCTATAGCACCACCACAACATTCTCTAACGTCGTTGTTCGCTGAATAATTTATTTATGGAGTCAAATACATTACCACCAAACACGTGTCTGGATCACTACGAAAAGACGTTGAACTTGAAGAGATTTGTCGAACGAGACCGCTCAGGAGCGGAAGGTTGTCGGTACCGACATGTAGGTGTCAACTCATTTTACACGAGAGAATCGTCACACCAAAATAGTCTTTACATACGCAGTAACTCGGATAAAGCAGGTGGGTACGCAAAAAATCTTCCAAGTTTGGTACAGTATTTCACATCTAGGGTGGCGAGCATTGAAAAGAAGACACGAATCCAAAATCTCAAAACTGATGGTTAAGCCCAAGCGTTGAGCATATTGAATATAGTACCAAAGTTCGCAAAGGCACATTCCAATTTCCCATCTACATCATAAAATAAACCGACTACGATTGAAATTGAGCGTGACATTGTAAGAAAAGACGCAGTGGTCCCAAAGGAATTGTGTATACTGTGCTGAGTCCAAAACAAATAAGCGATGTATATATTATTATATACAATATGGAGAACTAAAAATAGCGTACTGAATGCGTCACTAAGGTCGTATTGTGCGGTACCGACACCGACAATGCCCTTATTCTTGTATTCATAAAGATGGAATCTCTTGCCAAATAATTAGAATATACCTGTTTTCAAAACTTCTTTTCGAATGTATCTGTCAGAAAAAGAGTCAAAATCTATTACGTTTCAATGGTCCATACAATGGCGTATGAAAGAACTTGTACTTTCCGCTTGTATACATGGTGATTAACTGTGGCGTAAAAAGTTTTAGCTCGAGTAGAGCGTTTCAGCAACATAACTAAATTAACACTAAAATATTACATATGGGATTACATGTCCTTTGGTTTGTAAAAGAAGTTGTATTAATTAAATAACCGCACCGCAAAAATATGATAAATTTGTGTGACAGGATGTAATATTTCTTGAAACAACTAAAGCTTAAAATCAATAAAAGTCATAAGAGTTTGTTTGAATCGATGAAATAATTACAGTAACAAGCTTCTTATTGTTTTTAGCGTTTCCCTTCGAAACCTCAAACTGACTTGTACAGACTCATTTGAAGACTTCTCTAATATGTTTTATATTTTACATCACCCACCAGTATTGCTTCAATATTCCGTTCGCCACAAAACAACACACTTTCTTATCGATACATACCAAATTACGCAACTCATATAAATTTATTTTGTCTCGTGCCAATGAAGGAACTTAATATTCGAAATTAATTACCGGTATAGGCTTAATGAATCGATGTATTCTAAATTCATTTAAGAATGTGTGAGAAAAAATTCCCAGTTGGGATGAGGTGAATGAAAGCCGAGTTCTTACATTGAAATGCTTCGTGAATATTTCTTAACAATACCTTTAATTCCAACTGTTGAATTCAAGTGAGATTTCAAGCACCATCGAAACGGACTTGAATTTACAATGAAATTATCCCATTTTATTTACCGAGAAACCTCTTGTTGAAATCAGCATAAGTGTAAAAAGAGTTTAGTCCTAATTAACATACTGTTTAATAACCGCATGACAGTTTGCAAAATGTGAATTACATGTTAAACATACATTATTCTGGTTATAACGATGTCGATGGACATTGGCAGACATACGACTACGGCACGTACAGATTTCAGAAGATAAATTCTCACAAAACATGTCAAGAAAATTTCTTCATCTATCTTCGGTTATCACTAGAAAACCACAGTATTATGAAAGGCGTGAAATGAGGCGTAGGTTTGTGCGCTTACAGTCCACTGAAATAGTAAACATGTACCTGATACTGATAAAACGATACCAAATGATTTATCAAACTCAAATATCTGGATTAGTGGCCTCGTTCTAAAAAATTATATCATTTCCGTGCTTTGCCTGTGAGAAATACGACAGTAGTCAATTCCCGATCATGGCACCCCGCCAGAAATAGCGAAGCAATTATATATAATAGAAATGTGAAATGATGTATATTTTTCAAATTGTTCGATAGTTGTTAGGTCTGAAAAGTTCATAACCTGAAATTCATTTGACGAAAATCTTTCTTTCCTTTTTTGACTTGCTTATTTTTCGATAACCTGAATATCGGACGTTCTGAACAATGACAGGAATTATCAATTGTTAATACGGCGGTATAGACAGGACTTTCCTTATTTTCAGGAAAAATTCAACTGAATTCATATGACAGGAGTCTTTGCAATAATTGTAATTAGTTTAGCGTAATTAGTTTCAAAGTGGGTCTACCACAAGCGAACGGCTCCTTCGAGGGTGAACATTATTCAACTCCGCATATCATGTATTGTGACGAAGAATGCAGTCCGGACGTCCAGAAATCACAAACCACATTTGTATATTTGATTTACAGTGAATAAGCTTCCAGTTTGGACCTTCATATTCATGATTACACAAAGGATTAGTTTCGGTCAGCATTGTGCTTTTGAAATCTGTTATCATCAAAAAATCAAAAGTCGGAGTGACTTTTCAATTTCTTATATTGACACTCGTGACTCACTCGCCCACCACATCAATTTTAGCTCGTTATACAGAAGAAAACACAAAAAAAGTTTTCCTGAATTGAAAATTCAAATAACTGTCATGGAGGAATGTAATTACATAACCAGCGAAGTGACAAAGGTTTATCGTTTTAACTTAAAGCGAAATTAGCATTTGCGAGGGAATTGTTGATCTGGAATTGTTCATGGAAAAAAGGAAAGTGTTGACAAGAACAAGATTGTAAACAAACCAACAGCAATTCAAGGACTTATACTACCGAATTTATACTATTTGGTAGGAATTCCAGAATTCTTATTTCCCCAGCAAGGTCACTGACATTTCGATTTAATGTTGTAAAGTGTAAACCATATATATAGGTAATGTAAACTATTTATATGTCATATACAGATATGCGAAAAAATAATTCGGTTTGCGTGATTTGTTTGATTTTTTCAAATTTAAATTCAAAGAAAGAAGCTATATATACGTATTGCGTTATCTTGTAAGATTATTTGGAAGACGTCGGCGATGGAAATAGGAAGAATGACAAAAAGTCTCAAATAAGCAAACATTACTATAGGGTACAAAAGTCGTAAACGTTTCCATGGTCGCAAACAATAAGACTCCGTGTTGGCTGGCACTTTTCCTTATTACCATAAAGCTGAGGGGTGATAAGTATACAATGAATCACCCAACAAGTACATACACAAACAATGCGTGGGGATTTCAGAACTTTACAACTTTCCGAAAATCCTGTTCCCATGGGAAACAAATTTTATATTTTCTAATTGACATCTTCCAAATTGAATTATGACCTCATTTTATTGTATTGTTTTATGAAATAAACGACATTGGTGAAATTGGGACAAGTACTCTTCAGCGTTATACCCTTGACGAATTTGAAAAAAAAAGAGTGAGTTTTGTGTGCGCTATGACGTCACCAAGTACCTTTACGTTGAAGTTTGATGTGATAATAGAAAACTGTAGCGGAAATGTCACAAACTCTTGAAATAGGTTTGATGTGAAAATAGCAAAAAAACAGATCAGCGTGGAAGAGGGTGTTGAAAAAATGTCCAACTTCAGGTCATGCCGAATTTCGAAAATTAAGAACGTGAATCTTCTAATCGAACTAAATCGTATAAATGATATGAAGATTCAATTGACGTTGGAGTTCTGAAAAAACACTAATTTTTTATCTGGTCAGGACATCGCGTGACTGCTAAAATAACAAATTTTGTTGTATGAAGTTTGTCGTCACAATCACAATGTTTCAGAAGATTTGTCCCCGGACGGAGTATGACGCAATTTCCACAACTTTCCATCGGTATCAATATTTACATTTTAAACCTCTTGCGATGTTGCTTTTGGAATGGGATTAGGCCAACTATAGCCGAAATTAGAATTAGAGAAGCAGTTTGCTTGGTCGGTCTCGTTCGAAATGTGATGTTGACATAAAAATATCTCCCACCATAATAATGTCATCAATCACCGCATTCACATTATAAGACAAGGATCAAACAAATGCGGTACATGAAATATTTCGAAGCGGAAGAAATAGAAAGAAGAAATTTTAAATGCTGGTGGGTGTTACAACATACCGAGTTAATGGAGTTTTGAATTTCGATAAAATCGTCAAGACAACCGCTCTTGAAAAGATCCTTTTCACATTTAGAGTATTCATACTCCATATATTTTTAGTCCTGTTGGATTCTAGATTTTCTTTTTGTGTGTGATCCCAAAAATGAAATACATAAAGAGTTAGGCTTGGTGATATTGATTGTGGGTGCTGCAAATCAAATGGTCTATCAAAAACGTCATGTCCATGACTTTAGCAAACTAAAACGATTTTTGTTCGTCACATAGCTAAAGATGTCAGATGCCAGAAAAGTTATCAGAAAGTCCCAAAGATCTCATAGGTTTCCAGCACAATCTGATTTTACAATCATTACAATACCTTCACGTAATAAAAGACTCGGAAGCGGAATGAATAAAAAGATATTTATGACGTCAACAACAAAATATAAACACTGATTGGAGGGCGTGAAGAAGGACTGTCTTCAACTACCAGGATTTACAACGTGACGTCATGTTGTCATTTACAGTTAAAAAAACATTTATCCTATAGCTAACCTGACGATGTAACCACCACCGAACAATGGCGCGTGTGACTGAGTCAAACCGCAAAATGCCATCGATAGTACAAGTGAGATGTGATTCATCAATAACAAATAAACATTAGCACTGAAACAGAATTATCCTGTTCATCCCACAGAATTATACAATTACTTTCAGCCATAAACAGACTTACTCATTGCATGTTCTACTAAGAAACATACGAGGAGGTTGAGGTTGCAACTCGCAAAAATAATCCAGAAAAAATATTTTGTACCTTTGAACAAGTTGCCTCCGTGTGTTGAATCAAAATCATGGCTGATGCGATGAGAGCTCCCTGGCGCACGTAATTGATTGAGTCAATGGTAAGAGGCTCAAGAAGGCTCAGAGCGTCCTGAAAGTTCACATATATTAATTAGTGTAAAGTTTACAATAATATAACAGGCTTGGTGAGTACAAGACATAAGACGAACCTTGCTTCCCGATGCAGCACAGGCGATTCCTAAAGCCATTGCTGCTCCATATCTTACGTGAGGGTTGTAACTTTCAGCCAGCAAAGAAACCACACTTGGACATTGATCCGGTGTTCTGTAAAAAATAAGACTTTGTCAAGGAAATTATCATATCTAATTAATAAAAGTAGCAGGTCCAAATGTGTTTTCTGACATGAACATTTGAACAGTGGATAAACTAATTACCAAAATCTTTTGTAAAATTCGCAATGCTTGAGAGGCCGTCATCGCGTAACGAACGAAGGACATACGATCCCGCGTGCTGCAGGCGAGAGACAAAAACGCCACGACAAACTATATCGAGAGAACTAACTAACAGGCGATCTCGGCCCCGTGGCCTAATGGATAAGGCGTCAGCCTCCGGAGCTGAAGATTGTGGGTTCGAGTCCCACCGGGGTCGCATTTTCCTATTGCTTTCGGTACACCTTTGAGTTTCGGCGTCTTACCACCGGAATTCCGGAACCGGAATTCGAGGGTAATACAGGTATCTTCCTTGAAGAAATTATGACACTGGTGACATAAGTTGCAATGCAAAATGTCTCACAGAGACATCAAAAATAACGCATTTCGTGGGTCATTCTTGCAACGCAGCGGAACTAATGGCCACCTTCTGCAGAGGTACAGGACGGACTGTCAATAGAGCATTGATAAACAGCGGATATCGTAATCCGTCGGGAATGCGCATCACAACACCGCATTTTACATTCTCATGCAAACTACACGGCATCATTTCATAATTCTAAACTATGCTGTAGGTTTTTTGATATTTCAGAACCGTGACTGAATATGTAACAACTTAAACAAACAACATCTCGGATTTATCTCGCAATATTATGCCAGCAGTTAAATTTATGTTCGCAGTGAATAATTGACAAACTTATTATTAAACGGGTTGGGTTGGTGACAAATAATCGAAGTATAACAGAAGACAAAAGAAGGTAATCAAAGAGGATACAACCACGATTTGTATTTACATTAGCAGTTTTTCGGTCGTAAATATCAAGTTCGGTCGTAAAAATAAAAATTTGACTGATTTTTACTAACAGCCTAATACTAAGTCACTTGACTAATCGAACACACATCAAACAAAAGCGTCTTTTTATGTATTTTGATGACATCGCATAAGACGTAAATAAGTTGAGAATTTCGAAAAAGCGCGACGGATTCGTCCTCACTTGCTTATTGTAGAGCCGCCGGGAAAAAATGTCGACATTGTCACACGGATGGTCTTAATTTGACTGCGAACAACATTCCGTTCCTGGCGCCGTATTGGAGTATACGGATGGTGAGTGGGCCTCGTATTGCGACAAACACACACAAAACTTATGAGAGAACTAGTGATATAGCATAGTTACAGTACTTTCAAGTTCTAACAGAACAAGTCAGAGAATTCTGGATGTCAAAAGATTCATGCTCTTATTTGCGTGGATCGGAATATAAATAGATTATGTAACAGACAGTTAAGACGTGGATTCGAATCACACAGGTTCAGTTACCTCTTAAAATAGTGGAAAAGAGAAATTCATACTGGGCCAATTCCGGAAGAAAGATTTAAATTTTGCATGAGCAATGACCCCAACACGTCAAAGATTTTGTTACGCGCGATGGTGTTAACCAATTGTGGGGTACGGTGTCTGAGAAATATAAAAACTCACCAGAGGACTAATAATAAATAAGAATGGATTTTGAAGAAGGGATAAACATGTATTTTTAATCAGCATGTAAATACCGGGGATAGAATTACGAAATGAGAAAGGGATTATGTATTATAATCTTGAATATTTAAAGTAATGACTTGAACTGCCATTGTTTTGAAATATTGTATAAACAGTATAAAATTCCTCCAGTTTGCACTAAAAGGCATATATATGCCTTGGTCACAATTAAAATGCGAAAAGCGCTTTTTGTTGCTGTGACGAACATGGTATCATTAGACAATCAATATTATATCATATGTTCCTTATCTGGAATATTTTGAGCAAAAAAAAAATAGCAAAATCATTCATCTTTGCAAAAGACTATTAGATGTACTGGTATTAGCATACATACCCAAACTAGTTAACGACAATGAAGGTAAAAATATCAGGGCACCGCGTTGCAGTCTAAATTGCACCGTGACCTCGATGACGGTGATAAAAAAAATTTAAAATACGAATGATAACATCGCATTTTTATACAATTTAGTAAACAAAAACAGACTATCTGTAACGATCATGAAATCAAACGGTAAATTGGTACACAGTTTGCCGCAGTTTCCTATGGTATATGCAAATTTAGGGAAACACCATCATCGGTGAAACGTATTCAACGGAGAAACTGAACCGACCAAACGTTCAAACAAAAGTATTTTGAGAAATTTGTTGCAAACATCCATGTTTTTTTGGAAGTAGAATAAGAATTCCGCAGAAATACATTCAAGAAAAAAATATTCAGTTACAGATCCTGCTACAATATGGCGTAACCAATCGATGCGTGTCAAAATTCGATTATGTAATTTGAAAACAATATGCTGGAGAAAGACTTTCCAAATCAAGTATGTATCGTATGATTATGGCAAGTAATTAAAAATATGCCTATGCTCAAGTTTGACGGTTTGATGCGAAAACATAATTAAAAGCAGACAACCTATCGCTGTGACCAGATAGATAACAAGAATTCGATATAAACTGAAAAAAGATGATCGATAGAAAATAAATTATCAGCAATAACGCAACATGTTAGAAACTCTGCGTTGAAAAAGTAAGATTGTATCAATGGTAAATCCTTTTTGGGTTAATAATTGAACGAATTCTTGTTATCGCAAAAGCCGCAGAAACTTGGGTCGTATTTCAATTCCCCTCACATATATTTTGACTGTCAAAAATTATGGTACCCTCTAATAAACACCACTCCAAAAGTTTAAGATTTATTACTGGGTTATTCACATATTTCCATCACAAATTTTAACCCGGCAATATTAATACCCGAAGAGAAACATTATATAACCAGCGCGGCCGTGTCTAATAAGAAAGCGCTCGTATCCGTCCCTCAAGACAAACATCGCCTATGTATCGACGATAATATTCTGGGATAGTATTGTTTGGACAGTCAAAGTCACATACCATAGAAAATATAAAACGAGAGCCTCGCGGTTGGATTTGTGTACATTAGAATAGGGCAACTCGTTGAAGGCGGATGTGGGGCCATTCTTGATCTGCAGACGAAGATTAGGCTGACGTTTTATCTGGGAATACAGGTATAGCAACAGCGGGTTCAAAAGTACGAAGAAAAGATTGATCCTTTAGAAAAATCCAAAGCTAAATTGTTTTTTTGTTTAGTGTAGATGTAATTTGAATATGATGGGAATGTACCTTGCCAGCAGAATTAAAATTATGAACATAGCTTTGTCGTTCAAGGATATGCAGAAAATAAGCAGGGATTTAACAATTGATGAATCGAATCGGCGAGTGATTTAAAGATCAATATTATCAAGTGTTATGAATTTCGTAAGCATACATAATTACCTAATTTACCCCAATCAGACCGTGCGCGGAAATAGCGAAAACTATTTGACGAGAATCCATATGCGGTTGGCTTCTACGATGTACTGCTACTGATATGGTTACGTTAGAATTGACTCCAGATAACTTTAGGGTCAGACACGAGGTATGGGAACGATTCACAGGGAATATATTTGGATAATTAAAATGTTTTCATGTTCGCAGATTTGAAAACGAAAGGTTACATTCTTAAATATATTGTAAAAAATGATTTAAAGAAAGGGGCAATGCCCTATTGTCTGAAACTGAATTAGAAACAAACAGTTTAAGAATTAAGAACAAGTAATCTATCATGTAAGTTTGACGTCAAAGTATGCCAAGAATGCATACTGTATGACCATAACACGTGTGTCCTGCGCAAAACAAGTCATCCAAAGTAAATTAGAAATAAAACATTCTACAAATTTGAGTGTATTCAACTTGTTTTGATGAAAAAAAGTATTAGTACATACTGGACAATAAATAATCTTCATGTTATAACAGGTAAGTTTCATAAGGACGAAGTGAATGAGGAGAGTGTTTAGGTCAGTTCAGTGTTAAAGATTCTAACAAAAGTCAAGGAGAGTGAATCAAAAAAAAGACATACAATGATATCTGCATATCAATTAGCAGTCTCTTTCCAAATAAAAAATACAACAGCTGTACACATTCAGCATATTTTACAATTTAAGCGCGTTCCATGATGACCAGAACTGTGATGAAAACTGAGTCAACCAAAAAGCATAATATGCGCCGTTAGAAAATTATTAGCAAAGTAAGATACGAGATGATTTCAGATCAAATGTATGTATATAGGAATGTCCAATAGTGCCGGTGTTTTGAGTTAACGTAACATCTCTGTATTTTACTTAAGTTTACTAACAAAAATCCGCCAGCAAATATGACGAAAGGAAGTGATACAACAGGTAGGTTTTTTATTGGAAGAAGACATGCCACGCAGTATGACGTCATATGTGAAAAAATATAAAAATGTTCGACGGCTGATACAGGCATTATTTGAGCAAAGTTATAAGTTGTCAATAGCATTAACATTCATTATATCTATAATATTTCAAAACCAGGATGAAAAAGTGACAAAGAAAATGAAAAAAATCTACTGCTATTATCTGTGATTACATGGGTATATTAGAACGATGAATGTGGTCCTGGATTAAAACATTTCACGCAAGTGTTAAAACCAATAAAAAAAAAAATTCAGTCGTGTTTCACAGATGACTTTCTGTGCAGTTAGACGGTGAGTTAGCACTCATTAGAATTGAATACTAAATGATATTTCTTTGGGGGCAAGTCCGTGCGTAATCATACGCCAGACATAGCGACCACCTGCCGCGCGAATGTGTTTCACTTGGATGCCGCAAAAACGGAAGGAAGGTTACCGAAGTTAGATTCTGGATATAATCCAAGAAGACAAACAACTATTCTCCAAAAGCAAGTAAACAAAACATATGCCAGGCATGGCGACATCGAAAACGCAATACACCTTCCCTGCGGATTATATATTATTACCGGAATATCAACCGGAAGAAACTACAATGCAAAATTCAATAGAGAACAGTAGTTTTCCAATCGAAGGTAAGTGAATTTCTAGATTTACAGCTATATTTATCGATGGCAATATAAAAATTTACTGGTATATAAAAATCTAGGTCAATTTCAATAATTCCATTCGAAAGAATTGTGGTATTTGCATTGAAAGCAAACTGTCTAATAATCATGTAACAGAGACTGTAGCTGCATTTTTATTTTCAAATATAAACAACTCATTTCTAAAAGCCACAATGCCAGAATGCAATGGGAATAATAGGGGATTCATTTCTTAAAAAATCAACCCGGCTAAAATCGAACATATCAAATCTGATGGGTAACGCTGTCTCCTAACTAATTAAAATTAAGATCGTATCTTTTATTTAGAACCGAAAAAACACTGGGCAGCGATGGCTGTTTTGCCAATCATAGCTTTCGTTGCCACGGGAAACATCCTAGTTATCATGGCCGTCAAATTGGATCATAAATTGCGGAGTTCAACTAATTATTTTTTGACGTCACTGGCAATGGCGGATTTACTTGTAGCCATCACTGTGATGCCACCGAGCTTGGCCATGATTATAAATAGTAAGTATATTTAATTTGGTTAATCGAACATTTGGTGGTTTGATTCATATATCTTCCATGACCAGGTGCGATATCTAATCACTGGTGTGTAATATTCTTATTTACAATGATAATGCCATTTTGTTGGGATTATTTTAAAGGAAAACATCAAATCATACTATAGTATTGAAGAATTGAATATTTTGATTTGTGCATTCCAGGAAATTAACGATTGATTTGAATTCAATCACCCCAAAATTACTGCCAATATGAAAAGAAATATTGACGTAATGAATTGATTTCTTTACCCCCGCGATACTAATATGGCATCAGATTGCAGCATCATTTATGGTGTACTTGTTGATATACTTCTTTCAAATATTAATATGCACGATTGAAATTCGGGATTTTTCAGGACTTAAGTATTTTACAGCAAAAGAAATTTTTTTTTGTAAAATATTTAAAAATACATAATGTAGTTTTTACTAAAAAGATGATAACGCTAGACTTCCGACAAAACAATAAACTATTTGATATTTGTAAATTTCATAATTGGTCTTATCGAAATACTGAAACTAGAAGATTCTCCCATTATTAATAGTAGAAACCGTCTGTCTGGTTTTAAAAGGATACATTTGCGAATGGAAATATTCCTAATTACCAGAAGATTGTCGACTAGAATAGGAAATTTTGAATTTCTTAGTATATTAGTTGATTTGAAACATAATACCGACAATTCAAAATATACCGATAACCCACGACTTAAAGATATTTGATTGGATGTTTTTTTTTTCAACTTGGAAGAGGGACAAAAAAATAAATATCCAATGAATGATTGATTGGATTTGAATAAAATAATGAATACCAAAATAGTAAGTCAGTAATTTAATACATGATAAAATGAATAAAAGCTACAAAAAACTTGGTAATCATAAAATGCAAAGGAAACAATTATGAGTCGTAAAACGTCGGGGCACGACCTAACGTGGAACAGGAATACGATTGGCGAAAAGGAAAATTAAAGGTCAAAAAATGACAAAACAACCCTCTCATCTCGGGGAAACCTCTGAGTAATGTTTTTGTTACCAGCTGACCACCTGACTCAAGGTAATCTAATTGTGCCCCGATAAAACAATGATAACAACCTACAAACATCCGCATGTAACAAATAATTACGTAGTTCCTCTACGTGGAGTTGGAAACAGAGTTTGAGCTAAAGTTTAAAAGGGTGAAAGTTCAACATTATTATTGTGAAACGGAATACGTAAAATTGGTGAATAGATTCGTATGTTCTGCAAAGAAGGTTTTGAATCATAAATGCGGGAATGTCCTCGTCAGGTCGCCTTACTGGCAATCCTTTTTACAATTAAATTAACTGGAAACATACACTGTACTCTCTGACCATTTTGCAATTCGCCAAATGCAATAATTTTACGAATTAAATTAAATCGTGTTCCATTTGCACATATTGTATAAATATATAAGATATTCAATTTTTTAAAACAAATAAGACGATAAGCTGTAAGTAGTCTGTTAACATACATTTTTGGGATAGGCGTAAAATTCGACAGCAGTACATTACATGGAATAGTCAATTAGATCATTTCATCATTCAAATGCGTTCGAGTATGGCACATAAACAAAAAACGTAGTATGAGTTGGCAAAAACACAAGTATTTCAGCTGATATCATCTAGTGGGGTTGAAGGTAGCCTGATCTAAGGCGATAAACACAGAGGCGTCAAGGGATGTGGTATTCCCGCGATTGTGACATTCTCAAATTCACACCGCGGTCTTATATCCACCGTAGCATACACATAGAAACGTGCCTATTCACCCGAAGAATCACTAAAATGTCTCGCGAGACAAATCGCACAAGTGGCGGTATGATGATTAATCGGATTGAGAAATCCTTTGTGTTCACCACCTGGGTAAAATCAACTGAAAACTGTTTGCTAGTAATATCATTGGCGGTATGCGATGGGTTCCCGTGGTATAGTAATTTTATGCGAACAAATTAGTCAGAGAAATAGGATTGATTATTCTTTTACATCTGTTGTATTTGAATAACTAAATTTATTTGACAAATGGGATCAAATACCAGAATCAATGTCGTTTGACGTTGACAACAATACATACGTCTTCGTCCTTCCATTCATGATATTTTAAGGGTAGTTCATGCCATATAGTATGCCATGACATATAGGCTATATAGTACATTGCATCGTTGACGAAAGGTAATAAGGAAGCCAATATTATCATATGCATTACAATTCCTTCGAGTATTTACGCGTTCCACCAGCTGATAGTATAGTAGAATGTAAAATGTCATTATAGCATAATATTAGGGTAAGACTATGAAATTCCTACATATCATTTGCGATATTAATTAGGCTTATGACATACTGAAAAATGGTGGGCCTATTTTTCAAAAATGGTGAGCAAAACGGTTGACATAATGAAAGGTATAACTTGCGCTCGACGAAAAATGCTTAAAATGACAGTATAACGTCCAGAATATCCATCCCGTCAGTTTTTGCTATAAATTTAAAACCTTAACGCGTGAATACAATAACTTACTTTTAAGATGTTATCGATTCGGATATTAAATTCTTGGAAAATTGTGAGCCGAAAACGGTCTAGTATTTTGGACATCATTTCCTATTTTCGATTAAATATTTATACCTCTGTCGTTAAAAATAGCGACATTATCATGTTCGACACATCTACAGTCTAAATCAACTTCATCTACAAGTGTTGACTCATTTAATTGATAAAATAAAGTATCGTAAGATCAAGACAATTGTCTATCGCATCAAATGATTGAACCGACTATTCAGACACTCAAAACAGGGAAATGATAAAAATCAGACCAAATACAAAGAAAATGATTCTAAACATTTCTAAAACGCGAGATTCAACCATTTCTGAACCATCTTTTCGCCAATTTGCAGCTTTGAATCGAATTTGTTAGGATTAGTCACACCATCGTCCAATATTCTTTGTTTCCAAAAAAAAATGGTGAGCGACAAAAATACGAAGAAATTGATACTGTAATTTTAAGGATAAAAATAGAAATAAAATATTTGTGACATTACGATATTTGTCGGAATTTGCCAAGTACGGCTCGAAAATGACGACAACAACTAGGTTCGCCATTTTATTGTACTTTCATATGGTGTAATAGAACCCAATTAATAAACAATTAGGAATCCTGTCTACATTACAAATATTCGAATTTCTGATATCAAAACAGGTCGCAACCGCGATAGTAATGAAATTTTCAATTCGCAATTTAAGATAAGCAGCAAAGAATTCTTAAGAATGCGAAATCACCAGTGTGGAAATAAAAATTGTTAATCCTGCCAAAAATTCCTCTTTAACGAAAACTTTTTCTACGTTCCACCAGGTTTATTAAAATACGGACATGATGAGTATTGATCCTAAAGACAAGATATCCCCCTGATAAGAGCAGCAAACTCGTCCACAGTAATCTATGGGAGAAACTGACTAGGCGACGACAGTTCAGACACGATATAGCCCATAATCCGACAAACGTGATTTCGCTTTATTAAAGCTGACTGCGAAAAGATAAACCATGAGATGTTCCGGAGAATTGACAATACTGTCGTCACTTTCGCCATCCATTGCAGGTTCCCACAAATCACTGGCATTTAGATTTACAAAACGGCTAACACTATCAAAACCAGAAACCCCACGAATTAGCATAACTCCATAGCATGCCATTAGAAAAATTAGTATGTTATTCATGGAGAGTCGCAGATTGTTCCTGGATTTAAAAAAGTGGTATGATAGCTAGGGAGTGGAATGACAGTCGAACAGAGCCAAATTGAGACATGTACATATTTATATTAGTTTGTTGACGCTGATGTTATAACATAATATCGCTTTTTAGCCGAACTTATTGATTATTCTGCCTTTTGCGGGCCCGGTCCTTCCGTAGGTAACAGTAATTACAGAAAAATAACCCAGGAATTTAAACACAACACTCCACTAGTTTTAGAAAAAAATAAATTCTCTAGAAAGCAATCCTAATACGTTGAGTTTCTCCAATATTTAACACGGAAGCGACTGTTTCTCCTTTTAAGTCTTAATGAAGTTAAGTTTTGAAATTGTTCATTTCGACGACAACAACGGCTAATCGTTAAACGAGAAAGAACTGTCATGCAAATATACATAGGTAATTTACGCATCGATTTACAATAACACGGTTAAACAAAACTAATATTCTTCAATAACAATTAAGTGACAATGAAAATCAAAATGCGCTGCAATTTAGTTGAGATGTTAACAATATGAATGCGATATATTTGAAATATCATATATCGAAAGCGCAGAAAGACTTGAAAATCTATGTCAGATCTTCAGAGGTAAACGTATAAACAATTATTGTCGTAGAACTAAAAAAAAAAAAATTGATCTACCGGTACATCAGACGGACTTACGCACGTCCATGTGTTGCGTCTGACATATGAACGAACAATAAAGTGTAGTAAAACAAATATAGAAAGAAACAAACAAGGATTTAACGCGATTTTGAACGTACTAATCCTATCCACAATTGATCGAAATGAATAATTCATACTTCGCATAAAAAACAATCTTTACCGTTAATTCTGTCTCTCACCAAGAAAATGCAAACGCGGTATTTCCAAAACATAACGTCATCAGTCGTAATTTCCCAAATGAACATTTGAATTTGAATGAGAATTTGCAAGATAAATAGCATTTGCCGAAAACCCGATATGATATAGATATCAAAATTAGCCAAATTGGCCCCGTGAAATGTGAAATATCAAGCTTTTTTACCTCAATTTCAATTTTTTGCACAAAGTTGCTGAAAATACACACGTATATTATTTTGTAAAAACACCGGAATTGGTTACTATAAATTAGCAGCCATTTTACATTTCTGATTTGGCTTTTATGTGGTATTCACTCAAAAATCTACATCACACGTCTTTTAGTGGCTAGGGAGACCTTTCTCTCAGTTAATCATATTTCTTTTCCATTAAATAATAACTGAAATTTTATTCGTTTCAGATTACAAATGGCCGTTTCCCGAAAGTCTTTGTGGAATATGGGTTATGCTGGACGTATGCTTTAGTACGTCTTCTATACTTCATCTATGCATGATTTCATTGGATAGATACCTAGCGCTTGCTAATCCTTTCCGATACAACAACGGTGGTTGGATGTCGAAAACATCTTCAGGTATGATTGATATTAACACTTATGACTGAAAATTCCTACAAAATTTATAGGATTTCATCTGAATTAAAACAAACCTATAGCAAGCCCTCGCAATGCTAAGTAAACTGTGTGATGAAAATGCAATGCATTTGAAGAAGTTACAATTGCTAGCTTTTCAAAATTTTCTGATTTATTTAAAATTAAATGATCAAAGTTCAAACATAGTTACTTATGAAATGACAACACGACGGTCCATGAAAAGGGACAGCGGCACGACCAGTTTGAATGATTGGTCATTTGTAAGTCGCGTCTTATGTCCAATACCACATACCACGTTTATTGAATAAAACAATTGAATTCGTGATTGCCAAGAGTAAGACTATGACATCACGACTTACTACATTTAAGTAATAAACCTACATTCTCCTTATGATCTATTTATTTATTTGTTTAATAAAGGTGGTTGGGGTACTGAGAAACGTGGACGAATGGGAGCAGGATTCGGCGGAGGTGCCAACAAGATGACAAAAAGGGTAGCTAAGAGAATCCTATTGGTGTGGGCGATATCTATAGGTGAGCAAACTTTTTTCACTGACTGCATTTTTATCCAGTCAAAAAACCGAACAGCATAAATATAAATTATATTATATAGTTTACTACGGTTAAAAATTTGCAAATGTTTCTCAACTGAGAATTTTGGCAAAATTTGGGCTCAGTGGACCAATATAGTGTAAAAGACATACAATATATACAACTTTGACAAAAACATATTCGCCAGGTTCCTTATAACGATGCGATGGTCAGTGACTGGTTACCAGACGTATATAATCCAGTATAGATCGAACAAAAAATTATCCTCTGAGCAAACACACCAAGTACTTCGTTAAATGTATGCGCGCGTTTTGCAGGCGTGTTCCTTCTTAGTGTAAACAATGTGGTAATACCGAATGACCTTTTGGGATCAAATACGTGATAAACGGATTTAAGTCTTTGTTAGAAAATACGAAATATCTAAATTTGTTACAGATAGTTTGCTCAGCTTTGTAATGTTTCGTATAATTTCAAATGTAAAATTAAAAGACTTTTACAGTAATAACATCACTTGCTTGTAAATCTAGATTCTAGAGCAACGTGAATTATTCAATACTTTTTTTCTGTTCGTGCTTTTAACCAAAAAAATTGATGGTTTAAGAGTAACATTCGCATCGCCCCATTATCAAATAACAGTATTTCTAAAATCGGGTATCGTTGTTAAATCGTGACTGTAGCCACGATGGAACGGAGGCTTATACAAAAGCCTCCGTAAGTTTGTTTAAACACGGTCGGGTAGAGCGAGCAAACTATTCCAACTTTCTTGACTAAATTCTTTGAACTAAAATGTTCGTTTCCTAATAATGGATTCGTGTTTGGTTTGCGATGTTTGTCATCATCGTAAATCGAAGGAAACTATATATGAACTGTATTTATATCTCTAAATCGTTAAGGCGATTTACTATACAAATACGTACTAGCAAAAATATAGCAAGCTTGGCAGGCTTTAAGTCTAAGCGATCGTTAACAAGATATTTTCGTGATGCAAAGGGTTTGTTATTTTTATCCGTCAATGACTATTTGATACAAAACTCTACAGTAGGTAACAAACCACACAAAAATGTTATGCCAACGTGGGAAAATGAAAAATAAATCCAAGATGTTGGCTTATCGATTGAATCCTGACCGAACACGTCTTTTTCTCTTACATCACATATTAAACTTTATGAATATGTGTGTTCAAACATTATAAATTGATAAATAAATTATACCAAAACTACAATGAAATGCCACAGACTTGGGATTTGTTTCTTGCAATATGAGTAAGGGTTCTGCAATGTTCATAGGTAGTAAGTCATCCTGCAAAAATTGTGCACTACAGTACACAATGCATTGCGGAGTATTCACAAGCAATATTTCAATCACAGTCATTTCTTTGCAGGTATCTCACTTCCGTTACCGATCCTGGCGAGTCAAAATAGAGACAATCTTTTTTACGGGCAAATGTGCGTTATCAATATTCCCGAATTCGCCATATATGGATCGATTGTTGCTTTCTTTGCTCCATTAATTGTGATGTTTATTACATATTCGTTAACAATAAGGACTTTGCAAAAACAGTCTAAGCTGGTCGCTTGCATCATGGGGAAAGATGGTTCAACGCACAAAGGGAAATCATCCACGTCCTCTTCCATAACATCGCGGTAACCATTTGTTCTAGAATTTAATTTTATACGCTCAGATGAGGAAACATTTTATGAACACAATATATATTTTGTAGGCGGAGCGTAGGAAGCACAAAAGGCACCATGTCAGGAAAATGGACATCAGCAAGCAGAGCCGGAAATTCTTCATTGCCAGACCTTTTGAGATCATCAGAAAATTGCATGGATTTAGAAGAAACTTCATTTTCAAACCATCGAAGACTTGATTCAACAGCGAGTGGTATTCAGTTCATAGCCACGCCGTCCGAGAGTAGAATCAAGACATGCGCCAGGTGCGCAATGTTATGTTGTGGCTGTTTTAGCTCAGATAAAACTAGCCGTCAAGATATACACCGAGAACTTATGGAAATGGAATACACTGTGGGAAGTAAAACCACTTTACATAAAACGGATAGCGAAAGCAGTGACACGAGCAGTATAACAAACCATCCACCAGTGAAAAGGTAAATAAGTGATTTACTGAAGTAGCAAATTTTCATCTTGTTCATTACCGTTTGGCGATCATATTATATATGTATATTGTCGTATACAGATCACCAATGATCACAAGAGCAAACCTTAAGCTCGCTAAAGCAGTTTCTAAACTTCCATTGAAAAGAGTATCTACGCGTAGGATATCTGCTTCCATGAAATCAAGGGCTATTGCAACAGAACAACGAGCATCAAAGGTATTTTACAAATAATCCATGAACTAAAAATAATCAAATGAGAAATTTGATCTAAAATAATAACAAGTTTGAATGTTTTCACTGATCCCGTAGGTTTTTAGCTCCTAATTTTCAACTGCGCAATCGTACATCAATCCGTGTGATTGGGATTCCAGAACGTACGAGAATTACTTTATCAGCTTCTGGTGACGTCAGTAACGGTGAATTTCGAGATAAGGAATTACTGACAACGCATATTCCAATCCCATTTGTGGTTCGATCGCTTTGTACGGTACCGGGTTATTAATAGTAAAATCGTCTGCAAATCGAATTTGAATTGAAGTACAAATGCACGAGGGCGTCTGTGGCCAATGGTCAAAGTTGGTTCATGTAAATTCAGCTTAATTGCAGAAGATCCATAAATAGATTTTGTCCATTCAAAGATTGAAAAAGTGAAATCTGAAATAGAATTAACGGTGACGCGTATCCATTATATTTAATCCTGGGTCATTGAAAGTAAATAAAAAATCGGTATGAAAAAAAATATATCTATATAGAGTAATTTGACAATATTTGTGCAAATAATTTCTATTATTGAATGGAGGATGTTCGAGGTATGTAGACATTAGAACCGATGATATCCATAAATGAAGTCTATTTCTCAGTTTTAGAACTCCACAAACTATTCGGATGAGACGCAGCGAAAAGTTAATTATCCATTCTACCTACATTAATGACACGTCAAGTTCCAGCCGCGTAAATTTTTATGAAAATATTTCAGGAAGGTTATATTGAAAGAATGTCATGCATAAATAATTAATACACAATTTGAACAAATAGAAAAATAATGTCTTGATTTTCCGCCCCTTAGCACATTACGGAAATTCAAATTTATTCTAAAAATATGTTGAGAAAAATGTCGTTCTAATCAAAATTTGGGATTAATGTATATGCAAGTTGATATTACAAAGACTGAGTGATAATATAAATATCTTAAAATTTACCAAGTCGAATTTTCAGGCGACCTCATGGCGAAATAGGTCGAGATGGATATAAACGTTCGATTTGACAAAGACTATATTATTATCATTATCATATAAAAAAGATTCTAAATTATGTTCATAAAATCCAGTAGAATTCTCACATTTAAAATCCTTAATCTGCTCATAGTTAAAGCAAAACCCTTTCTAGAAATAACGTAGTTAAAACAAGCACACTTGAAGAGAAATTCACAACTTGGTAGTACTTGTTCTTCATTCAACGCCAGCACATTGTTGACGCAAGGGATTAGCGTTAGGGCAAGCTATTGCAAGAAGAACAGACGTAGATAAATTGAGCTTATAAAAACAAAAGCCTGGTGGTTATTATTATGAATCAGCACGGTGGAAAGCAAAGCGTACTTTACATTCCGTATTTGTGGAAACCATCAGAAACTTCTGACACCTTTATAGAAGTGTTGAAAAATCAGCAATGCCGCTGTTCCACACAAGTAATTGTAATCCTATAAGCTTGGATGTACAATTGGAGCAGATGGAGCGCGCCCAGACATTAGACCAAGTTGGTTAATAAAACCAATTCATTCAATCAATCAGGTGTAAATTAAATCAATGTTAAATTTGGTTGAATTGTTGTGATTCAAATACGGTGTACGGAGAGTGTCACGTGGTTTATTAACATAAGTTTAAATTGTGTTTTATCATAATTATTGTGAACTGTGATTGGAAAATGACTCTTCTACTGGGGAATACGACATGTTCAAGTCGTGTGCCTATCTCAAAATCTAAATGAAACACGAGTCTAAAATCGTGCATAAATACCACCCAGGTGGAAGTTAGTGTTTATATGTTTAACCAGTGCGCGGATCAAAACGTCTTAATTGTATTGTATAAGGAAAGTGAAGAAACCAGATTCTGCGAATATTATCTATAGTACAAACCTTATACAAAACAAACATAGTCTGCGTGAAATCATGAACTTTCTCAATTAAAATTTTTCGAGACGACAACGATCTCTCTCTTACAATTCCGAACATGTATCGTTCATTGAATTGTTCGATAGCAAAACAAAGACTTCTTTGTTTTGACGAGAGAATATTATTAACGCTTAGAGCAGTAGACCCCGAGTTTATAATCACAAAACCAAGTATATATCATTAAGTTTGATCCACATTCGATTTTTTTCAGCTGTTCCCCCTCTATATAATAAACTCATTTTTTGCTTGTATTTTTCTCAGGTATTGGGAATGATCTTCACACTGTTTTGTTTGTTCTGGTGTCCTTTTTTCATTACAAACGTTTTTAGTGGTTTCTGTGCAACTTGTCAGATTTCATCGTGCAATATGGAGCTTATGGGAAATTTGATGAACTGGTAAGTTCGAACGAAACCCGGATGTTTCCAAAGCTAATGCATTTTATTTAAACTATATGACGTTACAAAATTGAATTTGATTGCATTGATTTTGAATGCATGGTTAAAACTCATTTGCGCTGCGTTGTGCCGTACAGATTAAAACAATAGCAATAGTTTCGATTAGTGTCGACAACATTTTCCAAATATTAACCAGATATCACATTTACAGGTTTGTATGGGTTGGATACGTGTCGTCAGGTGTTAACCCGTGCGTTTATACATTGTTCAGTCGGCAATTTCGTGACACCTTCAAAAAACTTCTCTGTCGGCGTTACGATGAAATAGGGACTGGGGGAAAACACTTTTCTCGATCTTATCCCAGAGATGGAACAACGGGAGGAATCAGCACCTCATCTTTCAGAGGAAGAGACTATGGATACTCAATCTCAATGGATCCGGCATCCAGAAGAGAGAGTGAGATGCAGGGTGGAGCAGGCATCCGTCCAACGCCCAGCGTTCATCGTTCGCTGGGTGAAAGCATCATGATCAGACAACACAAAAGAAGTCAAGTAACGAGAAGCGCAGACAGCGACGCTCTGATTGGCCGTTTATCTCGTAAAGCATCAATGCTCAATGGAGATTCGGGCGATAACGCGTCAAACGAAAAAGAGCTTAACCGACAATGGAGAACAACTTGGCATTTCACTATTGACGGCGAGGAAGGTCAAAAAACGGACGACAATCGTGAAAACTCATTAGATATGGATACCAATTCGCTCATTGTCAAATTTGCGAATGAATGGGAACAACGAACCAGGCGTCGACGAAGATTGATGTCCGCGCCCACTCAAGCAATATTAGGATGGAGGGATTTTGATTCAAGATATCTGGAGAAAAGTAAGTGTACCTACTCCCCTAAATTCACATATCCAAATACCAAATAAACCGCTCCTGTGCAGAAAAAGTTAGAAAAACTATTTACTGAAGATACTACTATTCACATGTCTAAATCTCGGTGTAGATTACAAAACAAGAATACCGTTAACGCTTCATTATTTTAGGTCAGGAAATTAACGAATCGAAGAATTCCCCTGGTAAGAGAGAACCGGAGAAGGCTGAACATCATCATCGCGAGAGGAATTACAAAGCCAAGAAAAACATCAGACGACATCTGAGTTTGAGCGGGAAAAGTATTTTCCAAACAATAGAAGAAAAAAATTGTCATTACAATGGAAGCGAATCCAGTTCCAACGAAACTTGCGAAAGTGAATATGAGAACAGCGGTAATGACGATGTTTTCCAGGATAATGATCTGGAGGGGCCAGCGACGGCGACAAGTCGAAAATCTTTACCTTTATTTGAGCGAACCAGTATAACCGAAGCCCGCGTGAGGTTTTTATCAGAAATAGACTCGAGGAATTGTATTTCACGCAGTGCAAATGAAACTACTTTAACTAACAGTATTACAAGGGCCGACAGCCAAAATTGTACGAGTTCCACATATCTTAATAATAATGTCACTAAAACCAGGGACGATTCTACAAATAACGATACATGTGATTGTGAAACGCAATTATCAAAGTCAAATGACGTTACAAACTGGGAAAAAGATAAACGCAATCGTGAACTAGAACATTATAAAAAGTTTCAATTATCTCGACTCGACAGTGGTATGGGCGATTCCGTAAGAAATTCACAAAGCTTATGATAGTCGCAAATTAGCGTGTGCTTCTTGAGTCTCACATTATTTATATTGGATATATCACAGTTTAGTATATAAAATGAAAACGCATAACATTCATCTCAGAATGCCGGACGTGTCACAAATTACTGTAAAAGAAACTATTGAATGAGAAATTGATCTATATATTTGCACCTTTTACTGTATTTTGTTTTAGTTGTGAATAACAACCATTCAATTTATATTCAGTTCTATTTTTATTTCGACTTTTCACTGCATATTGATAACTGTTTTTTTTAATTTTTATTTTATTGTTATCGCACAATGGACAAAATTATTTGTGAAATATATATCATGTTAATAACTTAATACTACCAAGTTCTGTTGGGTGTGGGGTTGTAATTTATTGTCATAGACATGACAAAACAAGTCCCGAATTCAACGAGCGTAAAAACTTGAAAGATTGATGAATTCATTTGGTAACAAAATCATGAAATGCAATTGCTCTTCGGATCAATGTGCAATTGCATTTTATCAGTAATAATTTTCAGTATTATTCAGTGGATCAGCACAGGTATATCTGACAATAACCGGATTGAAACGTTTTCCTTCGATATATTGTGCAAACATATTTACGTGAAATGAGCTCGAACTTTTCACCTGAAAATGCAGATTTATTGTCCCGGTAAAATTTTTTTTTATATATAAACCTGAAACTCACGCATGAGTCTTTGAAAATATAAACGCAGGTTTTCAAACCACACAATTTTCAAAATACAGTGTTTCATCCTATGATACAATTTTTATTAGCGATGACGCTTCGACGTTCATGCCCAACAGAACACACTTCATCACTACAAACAAGCGATACTTGTGAGCGAATGTGGAGAGAATAATTAAGCGTCGTTGTGATTCAGGAAGGTGCCAAATAAAATTAAAAACGATCGCGTTCAGCACTTACCTGGCTGACGGACTTTTCTACAGGCTGTAACGAACTCGTTGGTATCAAAATTTAGAGGTAAATGATCCGAAAAACGTTGGTTGATCATCTTCGATTGAGAACTGACTGTTTAAAATGTTAAAATACCTTCGCTGAAAAAACCGTATATTTCGCAACATATTCATCAGTCGAATCAATACGGGCAAACGCTATTGGAAAAACGTGACATACGGTATGGTTATTGTATTGTTTGAATATGCGCAGACATTGCTCCTATGCTTACAAATCCAAGAACGCATTCCTCCACATATTTAAATAATTTGAAATTTGGTATGCGTGAATATGAAAACCAATACTTCAATAATTACCAATTGACGCTATCGTGTAGACTAGCTTCTGATCCATTCTCACAAAGATAGAAAAGAGTAAGAGATAAATTTGAACTTGTGACTGTGATACCAAACAGTCTTTAGGTGCGTATTTAGTCATTGTTCCAGATTCCATTGGTGGAACGAAATTTCGAGGAGCGACTCGGTAAACTCATTCTGAACATGAAATCAAATCTCATTTCACAAGCTTCTATGTAGTGCAAAGCGCAGTTAGACTTTTCGAACAGTGAAGTCGAGTTGATTTATGGGTCATATATTTCGTTTCAATCCTGCGTCAATTCTGCGCTTCGAAAATGCGATTAAACGGTCAATTTGAGATGTTGATCTGCATTAGTAGCACTTAAATAATGAGAATCGTTATCCTAACAAAACAGCCAAAACTGCAAATTAGGCATCATTTAATGGTAATAGGCAGAGTGATGAAACTAGTGTTCAAGGATTCTGAAGGAAATTTTGTAGAAATTAGTCAAAACACATACATTTATAGGAGAGGATATATTGCAACATTACTACTATAATGTGACAAGGGGGACATTAAAATCGACTTGTACCTGATTAATTTTAATATAAAACTAGTTACACAACGCTAGTTAAAAGGTATCTTGTTAAAACACCCATCGTCCCTTGAGACATAGATTTATCCTACACACCAAATGACGTTAGCAATTGCATTAAAAGATCAGACAGTTTTGCATTTTTTTTTTTGCAAGATTAAAGGAAATTTTGAAAACCAAGTTTCCAATGTGCATCACGCCGAACACTAGTAATATCTCAAATACGGTTAATAATAGCACATGATTCTGTTTTAGACTTAGAGCATAGTATAAAGGAAATTCCCCGCATATATATATTGTCAACAATCTATGAACAAACTTATTTACCATTTGCACTGAAATTGGTAACCTATGCTATATCCCTTCCTACATTATACAGTATTTCTAACCATATAGGTTCCTACGTGATGCAACGTTTTAAGATTTTTCCAAACAAGTCAAATAAATAGGCTAGAAAAAACCAGTAGCATGACTGGGGTTTATCGAAGTTGTGGGCGTGTGACCAATCTAAAACTATCGGTTCATCTACAATAAGTAACAAAACAACGGCAGTTTAGTTATGAGAAAACATTTCATGACTTTTGTAAAAGTCAATTTCTGGTGTGCGATTTTATACATAACAATGACATTTTTCATAAAACATGAAACATGAAATTTTTAGTTTATCCTGAGTGATATAAAGCCGCTTACGTCACTAAGTCATCGAAAAACGAAAGTTTAAAAACAAGATGACATCGTGCGTATCAAGTCTGAATGTGGCACGCTATACAAATTTCGAAGACAATATTGGTCAAGGATCGCACGAAGAAAAAGCAAGCATGAAAATCGTAATTTATCATCTTATAATACTTATACAAATATAACTCATTGAAATATTTTATTGTTGAAACAGCAAGTCTGTCCGACCACAGCGTTCGGATATTTTTGCGTCCGAAAGTATTTTAAGGTCATTGTAAACAAAAACGGACTGAAAACATACCGTCGTGAGAATGAAGGGAAAAGGAAATCTGATTATTCCTAAATACCGATGGAGACAGAGAATTTGTAACCAAAAATGGTAAAGCAAGATATCCCCCATTATAATAGTGGAGAAAAGAACTTTATTATGACATTAGGACGAGTAAAACAATTTTCGAATGAGTAAATGATGTAACTCCAGGTGTGATATTTACTGTCAAGGTTAGCAAAGTGCAGAGTCATCATCAAAGGCAACAAGAAAAACAATATATAGTACAGTGAATACGAAGAAGGAATCAGCGTTAATCTGATGTTAGCAGTTGCAACATCCACATCTTTGAATTTTGAGAAGGTGAAGATAAGCAGCAGTGTATGTTTGGTAGAGATAAGATTCATTGGAGCTAGAGGCCATTATTTCAAGAAATTAGTAGTTTTCATACATTTGACTACATGCATACGTAGTCACGTTCCATTGATAAATACGTTGGTGAAGGTAAGATCAGGCGATATCATCGAGTTTTTTTTTTTTTTAAATAATATACCATAAAGTAAAATAGGAACACGTATAATAGTTTTCAATTCAATTTTCCTTCTTTTCCTCCTTCCTTATTAAAATCCTAAAGAAAATCAGCGGAACCGACTTAAATGGAAACACTGTTTGTTTTACCGTGGATTGCATATGATTGATAGAAACTTTACTATTTTGTCTGTACATTATGCAAACAATACAATATTCGCATTCATCAATTTTCGGGAAGATTTGATATCATCAGTCAGTATCTAACAACAATAACAACGCGATATGGGGATGAAAGTAATCCGCGAAACAGAAGTTTTTAGTACGCCCCATTGACTTCATTTACCCATTGCAATTGCATGTCAGTTCAAATGTGATTACTTCATGACAAGAAAATATTTCTTGAATCAGGAAAATCAAGTTTGGATCAAACATGGATAGAGAGGGAATAGCCTAATCCCTAAGCAATTAAACCAAAATTAAGACAAAATAAATTTATTCGCTTGTCAATATTAGTAGCACTGGGACCTAATCCCCCTTCTGACAGAGTACATCGAAATTGAATTAGTAGTCAAATAAACATACCAAAAAATGCGGATATCGCGATCCCGATCAATAGGGATTAAATCTGAATTAAGAATTCTGAACAATAGAGGAACGATTCAAGGTGAGAGTATTTCGATTTCATTTTCTGACAAAATCCGGGATGCCATACATCTATGATTTGCCAAGATTGAAACGAGCATAGAACAGTTATCAGCATTTCAGATCATGTTCGGCCCATGTTCACCAAACGGCAGATTTGCGCAGGGCAAGGCAAAACCTCTCGCAAAGTAGTGGCTAGAAGAATGGATACCAGTTTACCAGACTATGACAACAATATCTCGAGGAAATAAATTGAATGTCATTTTTGACAATTGCATGGCTCTCTGAATTAAATGAAAGTGTGGTGGCGAATCGAAATGCCCAAGAATGTCAAAATCCAAAGAAATTAATCGTAGTTTTCATACATCATGGGAGCTCGCTAATAACGACTGAAAATAACTTTTTTAGTTTTGTCCCAATAAGTATAATATGAAATAAAATAACAATCATCAAAAATGACTGTGCACTGCAAAATTTACCTCCATGAGGACGGCCATTCACTCCATCTAATACACACACCTCTATCTATGCATTTCAAACGAAATGTAAATTTTTACTAGAATTTTCTCAAATCTATTTAAGGCGTTTCATGGTACCACGATAACGAACGGAGGAATCCGTCCGAAGCAATGTTTACGGAACTCATCTTCCATGCAAAATAAATATAAAATTCCCATCTGGTCTGAAACTATTATCGGATGGAAAACCATCCATCAGGGCAACTTATGAAATCAGTTCATGATGTTGTCCATTTTAGCATGCAAGCAACTGACGTCGAATTGTATGGGTCATGTCAGCTGTTTTATGGACCATGACACTGATAATAGGTATCCAAATATGCAGAGTAATACAACACCTTAAAATTTGGGCGGCGATACAGTAGCGATGTACACAGAAGCGTGAAATTAGCGGCCTAGTGTATGAGCTCCCTTGACACAGCTGTGATTGACCAGTTATGTAAGCTTATACTGCGATGTTTGAAGTCCATGAAATTGGTATGGCCTTAATATGAAGAGATAACTCTTCCAACTACTATACTTCAAAAAAACAATCATTATGAGATATATAAGCAAACAAGGACGATCTAACAAAACCTGGTTTTCGCCACCAGGTCCCAAGATAAGGCTTCCCATTATAGTTCAAGAATTTCGTACCATCACGCATCACTGAGATTTTACATAATGTTAGGTGCCATACAAGAACGGTACCAGTTTCAAGCCACATTTCAAGCGATTGTGAATTATCTAACAAAATTTCACAAATTTGACTATATATCTTTGTCTTATCAATGGGCCACACATGACGAAGAAACATTGAGAAAAGCTGCAAATAGTAACAATGACAACTCTGTTTTGACTCAAAACAATAGTCGGAAGCATTTGGAGTATATCGTGTACGAACTTCGACAATTATGTGTCAAAGCATATTTAAATGCACGAGACGAACACAGGCAAAATTATCTGAGCTTTTATTCTGTATATGCTAACACAACTATACCATTAACAAAATTCTTGTTTGTGACGGACAGTTCGAAACAAAATCTTGAGACGATGACAAATCACTAACCAGTTCTTGCACTCCCTCAAGTGGCAGATTAGTTACACCGCGAAAATTAAATTCTCCGAAAATTCTTACGCTAATAAAACTTGTTTCTAATAAATAGTACAGCAAATTGCATGTTAGAGACTTTTGGGTAAAACTATAACTTCGGAATTCCCAGAGCCAAATCAAGTTAAACTCGGTATTAAATGGCAATATGCATTTTCCGTTAAAATGAAAATCTGGATTTGGAAGTCAAAGTCGCATGAATATTTTAAAACCGTCAGTCCGTTTCATCAAAGTCAAAAATTTAGACAAAATTATATGCGGATATTACTCGCGTGTCTTCTTCAAATAAACAATTCCGACCGCGTAACTAAACATAATAAGCGAAACCGGAATTATGTAGATGATCCGTAGCAACCAGCAATAACTTATACGTGCATTCACGAAAAAAGCGCGTTTTCTATCTTCCACATTAGTAAGGTTATACTACTTATACAAAAAATTCAGATCAATAGCCAGTATAAAATAAGTAACAAATGTGACATATTAGACCTTTCCGAATCATTAATAAAGAATCCCATAAGCCAAAAACGCCCCCAAGTGGGAATATAAACCATGGCACATAATTGGACCTACCGTCTATGATTAAAGACTGTTTCTAATTTTTATGAAATATAACGAAACTGATTTCACTATTACAATAAAGGTATTTCCTCACTTATAGTATTTCTCTATCACCCATTTTCCTGGTAATTTCAACACTGCTGAAAATCGTTCGTCACTAGTTGTTTTTGAATCATGTTAGTGGTATGTTCACATTGTAATGTTTGAAACTATTTTATTCCTCTGAGCACATCTTTTGACACATCGATACTTTTTGAATTAGATATAAGAACCTTGGATGTCGTTTCTCGGTAACGAGCTTTGGTTCCCGCGGCTTCCCTTCCCCAGTAAAACTGTGTAATTATCATTTTCTCGTATTTGTGCTCGAGCGATATTTTTTACTGGTTAAATAAAAAATGAACTTGACTTGACAGCTATCACCTCAGTATTCAATATTACAAGGATGCTGTTATAATAAAAACACAGGGTAAGTCAGTAATATCCCTTCTTGCTTTGGGTCTAGCCTGTGCAATAAATGCAAGAAACCTCTATATCCAATTTATTTATATATACAGTATTATCAATCTCAAACCTGAACATGAGAAATCCAAGAGATTCAACAGCAGCTCTTCTTACATCATTATTCACATCTGAAACCTTCAAACAAATGTTGCAAGTGTTCACTAATTTTTCCAATATATTATGTGAAAAAATAAATGCAATGTATCTTATCGATATACAACGCTTGCTTGGTATAAATCAAATGAAAAATAATATGGTTCTCAGCCTTTTCGTCATATGTAGTCAATATAGCTAGTAAAAACCAATCACATACAAACTAAGGAGAAAACAGAGTTCTACTACGTGATGGAAACCAACGGGAAAGACTCAGTTTCAACCTACGTAATACTTTAAGACTTTCAGCTTTGTTAAGCTAAGTTTGTTACAGTTAGATACAGCTTCTTCCATCATTCAAGTTCATGCATCTGAAACAACACTTTCCCTAGATTAGTGAATCGGCGAGTGGCCACGGTTTAATATATGACTGAATGCAGTATACTATATCACTTTCTCAACAGACCCGGATACCCAAGCGTACGAGAGCCAATGACAACCATGATTTAAGTGTTTTCCTCTGTCTTTCCTCATACAATGTAAATCAAAGGAGAAAATTTTAAATCTCAACTCACAGCCACATGAAGTAATGTCTGGATAGCCTTGTTACTTCCAGAACCAGCATATGCCATTGCTACAGTATACATAGCACTACGACGTAAAATTGGATCTTTATCTCGTTTCAAGGTTTGAATGAGAGAATCAGCCTCCTCCATTCTTCCATACATCACCTAGGAATGAATATTTTTGAGATTCCCAGTAGAGGAAAACTTTATCTGTAAAAGCAACTGTTGTGTTACTATGAAGAGAAAAACTGAAACTTTTGATTAGAACATTGTTGAACCAGTTCATGGAGCGCTTAATAATACTATTTGTGGCAAGTGAAAACTTAGAAGTAAAAGCTTCCAAGATTTAAACGAGAATATCGCTCAGAGACCGAAGACTTATCGATCGAAAGTTAGGGGATCCCCAAAACAGCGCTCTTACTCCATAGTGACACCGTGTGTCCCATCACTAATTAATTAATAACTTGCTAATTATACGACATAATTCATCGAAAATCAATAGGCTTCTGATCCGAGCTATGATGAATGCACATTTGGAGCAGATTCAACCTCACTTTCGTGAGATATCACGTTCATCTAACAGACAAACAAACAAACAAACAGACAAATACCTATCAACATACTTACCGATCTTAAGATCGATAAGTAAAAAGTGGACAACTGGGTAAGATGGTGACTAGTCAGAGCTCAAAATTTCAATGCTGACGTCAAAAAACTTATTTTTGTTTTTATACAATGTGTATTCACGACTTTTGCTTTGAACAACCCCCTATACAGGCAGATAATAATATCTGATGACATGTAAGGAGCTGCTTTTCTTTATTTGGAAAGAATCGGAATCTTTCCGATTCGGAATACCCAATTGAATGAATGGACCCTGGGTGAGGTTAAGACTAAAGCTTTTAACTTTACACTATAGCAGGGGTCTCAATCTCGCGGCCCGCGGGCCAATTGCGGCCCGCAGTACGATAGTTTGTGGCCCCCGCCTTGGTATGAATGTTGCCCGAAAGGCATATGCGGTACGGTAACCTACTAGTACTGTACCAGTAAGCATGATAATCAATGGACCTTTGACCACAAAAAAAATTTTCTTATACATCACCATTGCAAATTCTTGGTGCTTGTCTCAGAGGTGGCTTCGCGAGTTAAAAGCCTATAAACTGGGGTATATGTTTCACGTCATCATTTTGATTCAAAACATTCAACAACCCGTTTTTCAACAGTACCTGTAGAGAAGTTTAGCCTAGTCTATCACAAGTATTTCTGGACTAATTTTTGATTACTGCAATTAAGCTACGACACCCAAGCAATCAGAATGATCATTGAGTTCTTTGATTCATACTTGAATTTCTGAAACACAACCCAAAACTAACAAATAGCATGCAAAAACAAGGTAATGTTTACAAACATGCCTGAAAATCTTTTTGAGTGACAAGTGTCTGAGCGTTTGCGAAAAAGTCTATTGTTACATTATTTTTTGCGTTTTGCTGATTAGCCAATTTTACGGAATAAACAAGGAAGTAGATGCTCGGGGGAAGGCCCATTGCGGAATTACTTACATTTATGTTTTTGGCATGTTTTGCGTATAAAAAAATAGAGAAAAAGATTTACCTTTTCAAGTTTAATGCTTCTATTGTAAAAAACCTCATGCGGCCCGGACTCACTAAGGCTCTGTCTCGGCGGCCCCCAGGTAAATTGAGTTTGAGACCCCTGCACTATAGTATATTGAGAATTTACCAAACATTTATCCTATTATATTAGAACATGCATCTCAATATCCTTACCAGTGCAATTCCAACAGCCAGTCCTCTGATGATTTTCTCATGCTGTGTTTCTTGTGCATACGATACCATATCTTCAATAGCTTGATCTGATTTTGAGCCTTAATGAGAAATGCATCAATGATTAGAAATTTGAGATAGATGCCATTTATATAATGGTGACATATGGCAGTCAATCAATATAAGTATAACTTCACAGAAGAAGAAATCCGTGAGAACATATATTTGCAAGAATTGTTGTAGGAGAGAAGGAGAGAAATTTAAACGTTGGGTAAATTTAATAATAATTAATATGGGATGGAAACATTGCATATTATGTACATGAATTTATAACTATGAACCAAACACCTCAACTAATTCTCATTTAGCACAAGTTGCTATTGGACAAAGTACTACTTGAGAGTTTTGTGTTATTCTCTATATGAAACTCGGCGGTGTGGCACATCGTGCTAGGTGTTAGGAATTTGTTTGCCACCGCGCCTCTGATTACTCTGCGTGGGCTCGCAGGTTCGAATCCCATGCTGGGTTAATTATGTACCGACGTAGGGTGGTTCACGTAACCGCTGGTTATGGCTTCCTCCACCGTCAAGTCCATGCATCTGAAAACAAATAACTGGCTAACTAATCCCATACCCAACATGAACTGGTAACCGGACGAGAGAGAGGCCTAGGTTTGCCATATTCCCAGGATAAATATGTAAATCCTATCCTATCCTATGATAAACTCTATATGATAACTCCACAATGACTATAAGAATCATGCATATAGAAAATATTGCTTAATAAAGATATCTTACCCAACATCACCAATCCCATAGCTAGTCCTGCAGCCTCTCCTGTTATTGCGTCATCTTGATATAGTTGGTCTTTGAGGAGTTCATAGACATCTGTGAATAAAAACAAGAGCTTTTATATTGGTAATATATTTTTTCATAAGAAAATCTGCTCAAAGCAAGGTCATGCTCACTTGCACAGAAGAAAAAGAAGAAGCAAAGTTACCGGCAGCCAATGAAAGAGCTACCGAGTTGCGCTGAGAAGTTAACACCAACCAAAAATAATCATACCATGTTTTGCAGTCCCCATTGCAGCCAGTCCAAGACCTAGGCAGCCTCCATGCCGAACAATCTGGAAAAGATAACAATGTTAGTACAATAATCTCACCAACACCAAATATTGGTCGATGCCAAGATTCGTAAAATAATTATGTTTCCTCCACAAACCTCACTGGTGGCAGATTTCAATTGGTTCAGCAGATATTCTGTGATTTTTCCTTTTCCATGATTAGCATGAATCAATCCCAATGCATATAATCCACCACCCTCCTGATACGCACTGTTTGAACTTGAATCTTTGGGTAAGTATGTTGACATCAGATTAAGAGAATCCTGACAGAACAGGAAAATTAAAATTTACTTACTACTATTATGATATGATTTTATGCTATAAAGAAAACACAATACAACTTTAAATTAAAATTTGAAAATGGCATTGAATTTTATATAAACAATGTACGATTCATTGTACTTTTTACATTACATTCACATATTAATGATGGCACAGAAGGTGGAGTAGTCCTCTCAACCATATTATAGTAAAACTTTACCTAGGTTACTATATGTCAAAAAACATCAGGAGTGAATGAAGCAACTGATTAGATGGCTTGTTACCTTTTCATGTCCTTTGTGAATGACACCCAGACTCGCAGTCACCGTAAATTTTGCCCAGTTAGTTGCACGAGAGAGCCAGTCCAAATTATCTCTAAAATGGAAGTAAACATTTATAATTTAGATACCTAAAAAGCATCAAAAATTTCAAAATCCACCTAATATCTTTCAAAAGCTAATTGTTGGAGACAATCGAAATTACATTTTTATCAAAGAAATTCATAAGATTGTACATCTTGGAATGCTGCAGCCTACAGAACAGAATGCCACACTGCAACAAAGTTGAACCGATAATGGATTCAGGCTGCTCCTTTTTTTTGTTTTAGTCTAGTTTAACTCCAATCAGTAATTAGTAATTTTACTAATTATTTCTTCACCATGCTGAAAGTACGAACTATACATACACAAATATGGGAAATATAAAAAAAATCGCATTCCAGGGTAAAAGGAGACGCCAAAAACCAATACTGGTTATCTAGCGGTGGCACCCTTAGGGAAGTCTTACAGAAACGTGATAAATAGAATAAAATCGAACTAAATATGCTATTTGATAATTGATTTGATAAATAAAATAAAAAAGCAATAGGTATGTCAAGGTGACCTGGTACATACCAAGCAATCGTCATTTCAACAGATGAAAGTCGACTCCATGCACCATCGAAATTAAAGTGCGAGACCAGACAGTCTCACAGTGTTGTCATGGCGAGGTAAATAGGGTAGGCTATAGTAAAGGGCATCGAACGTTCGATTGTGTGCATATGATTGTCGTGATTAAGTTAAAACTGAATGCCAAGAGTATACAAATTGTACCAGTCAAGAGTACAGGTAACAAAATAATGACACTTTTATGGCAGGAAGTGTTTTGTGTACTAACAAGTGTTTTGATGCTGGAGTCAAAGAATTCACAAACAGGAATTGAAAAATCGTTAGGACATGGATATACCTTGAAGTATTCAACAATATTGATACAAAATAACAAAGGTAGTATTAAATATCGTTCTGAATTGGCCACTTTATATAGAACATAGTAGACTATAGAGTAGACTAGAGCAAATTTGAACAAATATTACAGTAAGTCAATGGGTCAAAATATGTAAAATTGACCTGGATTACTGTTTCAGAAACATTATAAACAGTAAATAAAAAGTAGGCATTACTTCCCATAATGAAGATAGCAGGAAGATGCCAATGGACTAAGTTGAGTTTGGAACCAAGTTAAGGCATGTAACAATGACATGTTATAAAATGTATGCACTTGACTGTAAGCATGTCTGCTAGCATTGGAAGTTACAGAATACATATCAAGAAAAATAAACACTAAATAAGAGATCAAGATCATTGTGGAGTGGACTCAGAACTAGGGCAAGGTGCTTGCTAGTTGCCATATAGCCTACGGTTTTTATATGATGATAAAGTATACCTGAGAAACTTGTCGCTTGTTGTTCCACAATGCATAAAACTATTGGCTATCACAGTAGAATTATGACAAACAGAATTTCGAACCTGTAATATATTATATTGTTAAAAGTTGTTCCCAGCGATCAAAATAATAAGTAAATATCCAAATACTGAAAAAGTCAACAATTTATAGGAATGTAGCAACAGCTTGCAGCAGCGAACACCCTTTGGCGATATATGATATTAATAGATAAAATATTCCTTTATATATGTTATCAAAAGCTCAAAACAAGGATTATTTGTATATACAATATGAGACATACTTGATCTTTAGTCAGCTTCAGGATCTGCAGATCAGAATGATTGTTTCGAATAAGAAATTGTAAATTCAATTCAATGCTTTTCTCTCCATCGAGTATTGAACTGAGAGTCTCTATTCTTTCACGAAGAGTTCGATCTTCTTCAGTCTGTAAAGTAAGAAGGCAGAAAGTTTACCTATTTGCTGACTTGGCATGCATGGGGATTTATGACTCAATTGTAGTCATTGATTAAGCCTACTCCTCCTTAGAACCTATGTATCTACTATATCTCAACGGCCAGGTAATGCTGACAAATTTTCCAAATTTAAAATTCATTTTAAATCATTTGCATGAAGAAAATCAAGATACATTTCAAAATTTAAAATTATTTTGTTTGTACTAAAAACTATAATCCTGAATTCCTGATCTAAAAAAAAAACAGCTACTGACCCAATTACTGTGAATTGGAAAACAGTTTTCAATTAGACCGTTTGCAGAAATGATGAAAAAACGCAACAAAAACTCTATTCCATTTTACCTCATCAGAAGCAGCCGTTGCACCAGTACTTTCTTCTTGTTCAGTTTTAGGAACAGTAGCATCGTCAGGTGTGGATGGCTCAGATTTTATTTGTTCTTCTTTCACACTAACTTGAATTCCACCAGGTAAACCAGATTTGAGTGCTTGCACAACATCAGACAAGAAATGCTGTGAAGCACTCTCATACAAATCAAATCCAATTTGGTAAGCAAGAGTCACTTGATCCTGGAAAAATAACATTTCAAACTAGACAAAAAACTTTAAACTAGAAACAAATGAGTGAAATGTAGTACTGTAATTACGAGAACAAGTAAATCGTCATAAACCAATTTCTCATATCATTCATTATGCACTATGTGTGCTAAACCAATATTGTGTGATAGATGATGCTGCTGCATATATTGTTTGTGGCACTTATTAATTATTTCGTTAATGCAACAAATGAAAAAGGATATCTGGGATGACATATAGAATAGTCAGTATGGCGACTCAATCATATGGTAAATTATGGCCTTTTGTCCAGATACCAGTCCAGGTCAAATAAAGGAATGTTGTTGAAAAATACATTCCAGGTGCCAAACTTTGAGCCAAATACGAATACAACAGCCTTAAGCTGTTACCAGTTGTAGCTTACTTGAGACTCCGACAAGAGCTTTCTCAAAATTTCTGATACTGCAGAGGCATCATCCAAATAGATGAGAACCTGGCAAACACTGATGTAATCTGGTTTTTCAATTTTTCCTGAATCAGAATCCAATCTTGAGTATAATCTCACAAGAAGACGAAATATCTTCTCTCTCAATCCTTTATGCTCAATAACTTGAGTGCAGAGTTTAAGGCAATAGGCAAGCATATCATTGAGATTGGGCTGAAAAAGAAATTTCAAATAAGTATTTGCACAAGGCAAGATATTGAATGGTTCATTCAAGAAAGCAAAAACCCAGCTTCAATGGAGATGGCTAATAATTGGTTTGATTCGGTGCTCAATATATTTTCCAACCATAGATCACATTACATGCGATAAAACTAACAAATTTTATACTATAATCAGGGATGCAAGTGTGTCCTGAAGAACCGTACAGCACGAAAATATGTTCTGTAAAAAATTGGCATTGTAGGCAATCGTTTTGTATACAATGATTTTCATATCCAACATGTAATTCAGGCACTTACTGCAAGTTTAACAGCTTGTTCAAAAACATCCATACGCCGAGCTTCAATAGCAATTCCAACAGCTTGTTTAAACTGACCATCAGCAAGACATTTTTCGAACATTCTATTCACAATAGCTTCAAGTCTTGTATCAATATCTGGTTTCATTTCATCTCCTCCTGCTATGCAGTCTTCTGCTTGTTGACGAAGTTTCGTATAGTGATCAATGCATTTTGCTACAAAAATAAAAATATATAATCTTTTGACTCTCGGCTTCCTAAATTTGTGCTGGTTTTAAGTGGTATACGACAAAATTGGAATCCACTCTAACAGCCCACAAGATGTCACTGCCTTATAATGGATCAAGTTTGGAATCTTACTGGCACACTCATAAATGAGATAGTGAGTATGTTATTTTGGTACTCCCGAAGCACGTGAACCATGATGGCAGACACCGGAACGTAGTATGTGTACCAGGTTAGGGTTGGGCCATAAGTTTATTCCAATTTTCCTTATTTTAGTTCTATTAGGAGTTCGTGGACTAGCCAAGTGACTCCCGTAATTTTGTACCCGAAATTATGGCCTAACAATAACCTGGCACACATACTACGTTCCAGTGTCCGCCATCTTGGTTCACATACTTCGGGAGTACCGAAATTTTATCCAAAGTGTGGTATAAGATGTTAGCATTCAAATTTGTTTACTGTGAGATGTGTCACAAGGTATAGGATTAACACAGGATACCGATTCATTTAAGTTAACATAGCAAGATGAATAATATTCCATGTGATCAACTGACTCAGTCTTTTGAGATGTTTAAAAATCATCTCATAATCTATTCCTACACCCTATCAAATTCCTGAATTTAAAAAAATGTCTCACATATGGTGGTTCCAACATATTCAGAATTCTCATTGATATTGAAGCAATCTCCTGCACACAGAGCATAATGCAAAGAGTCTTCAAATGATCCAAGATAGTAATAGAGTTTTGAAGCAAGTAATGCAGATAATTTTCTATGCTGGAACGATTCATCTTCATATAAAACTTCTCTGAAAAAGAGAAAAGGAAAATTTTTATGCAACATGTTTGACTCATTGAAATCTGTTAATAAAGTTCACATTTATTTTATTATTTAAAAATGTAGTCTTTCCTTCAAGTATGGGTTACCATACTATGGCATAGTATCCATTTATCATTGTCACAAAAAGAAAATGAAAATTATATTACGGGTAGGTATTTTAGAAAAAAATTAGTGAAAACTGCAGTCTGAACTCTTACATTTTTTCCACATGGTCTGAAATCTCAGGCCAAAACTGAGGAACAATGTTGTTAAGCCTGTTCAATGCATAAACTTTTAAATCATCTTCAGGTTCATCAAGAAGAGCAATCACTCCAGCTAAAAATAAATAGTATGCGATATTATTTAAATAGTTATTTTTTCTTCAATTCCTAGATCTTCTTTGATACAGTAATTTTTTTGGCAGAATACTATCGACTTAAATCAAATCTGGGTCTATTGCAACACTAATTAAGATGACTAATGAGACTAATGAGTTTTTATTCAGCTCAGAATACCCTTCCTTTATGAAATTATAGTAATATACATGGTTTTTGAGAATATAGTACTAAATCTAAAGTATCAATTTTAATGAAAATTGAAATTATTAATGTAAATAAAAGTAAAAAGTTATCAAGACAACTTTACTAATGAGTATATGTATTGACTATTGAGGAAAAGCAATAATATGAAGTTAAAACTTCTCAAATTAGATCTAGAAGTTATACAAAATAAAATATAAACAAAAAAAGAAGATACAAAAATGCAAAATATAAAAATAGATTATGAGAATTTGGAAATGATGGATAATCTTACCTGCAGATGTGATCCGCATCTTGATATCAATTACAAATATTTTATACAACGACGCTGAAGAAGAGATACAACTTTGATTTTTGAATAAAAAATCCTCCCTAATTGATATTTCAAATTACTACTGAACTAAGTTACTAAATGTAATTGAAATGCCAATATCCGCATATAGATTTCAGGGTATACAAATGAATATACAGAGACCAGAACCAATAAGGCTTACACCTGCATATTTGATTCCATAACCTTTTGACCGTGCAAGATTTTGAGAATTTTTTAGTTAGAACATAATCCTGCTTAATTAGGTATCATTAGATCAGATCCCTTGTCCGGTTTACTGATCATCCAAATCGGTTTCAACTTTAGACCACCAGAAGCATGAATTAATAATAAATGTTCCCAGACCAAAGTGACTGGCTGGGAGCCAGCAAGGCTTAATGTTGCATGGTTGAGCAACTGTCAGAAACTTTTCGGTAATGATCTATTGTCCCTAGGTTTAACACCCCAACGTAACGTTAAGTACCGTACCGTACGGTACCGGTCTGCCGGTAGAACACTCAGACACTAAAAAAACGAAGGAAAGTAATGCTGTAATGTCGACAACTGTCTGACTGTTGGAAATAATCTGCAAATATTTCGAACTTCGATATCTGAATTTAAATGAAGTTAGTCTAACTTCTGGAGTCTATTCTAAATGATGAAATACATAAATAAGAGATGAAAACGATAACTCATCATTATCCTGGGAAGAAGACTAATGATTCAACATCAGAAAATGTTATGACACAGCATGTTCTATACAGCATGATTCCATGACTAGGCATAAATAGCGCCACCTAATGACCGATCTACTACTTATAATCACTCTGATCGGGGGGTCTCAAACTCGCGGCCCGCAGGATGATAGTTTGTGGCCCCCGCCTTGGTATTAAAGTTTAATGTTAGTGCGGCCCACTAGTCACTTAGCTCAGTTAGCATGATTGATGCTTTCAATATAACAGCGCTTCCCATACTGTGTACCGCTGAACACTAATGTTCCGCCAGCATCTTCCGAGTGTTGCGTGGAAAAGGAATCAGAAGTTGTTGCCCAACTGACCGTTTAAAATTGCGTCACCGTTGGCCTAAAGTGGACTAACTAAGTTAGGGTAGTTGCATTTTCGTTCACCGTCGGTTTAGCTTTTTGACTGTTAATTCCATTATCAAATTTACAGTACTTCTTTTGGTTTTGTTAAAGACAAACAAGTAAGTCTAAAGAATAAAGACAAAAGGTCAACCGTTCTTCCTCCATCTCTACCTGGTTTTACTTCGAAATGCTGGAAGTTTGTCGCGCATTTGGTAATAGCCACGGCGAAACCATTGGGAATCCCTACATTGCACCGTTTTTCTTTATCGATTGAATCCTTAAATTTTTTGGTGTTCCGCGAGGTGATATAAAAAGTGTAAGTGTTCCGTGGCCGAAAAAAGGAAACTCCGTAATATAAGATACAGTCACGTAGGGCAAAACAAAATATTTTATCATCTATCCCCTGAAAGGAATATGCGGTGCGGTAACCTACCAGTACAAAACCTGTAGACCTGATATTCGATCGCGGGACCGCCTGAAATAATTTAAAAACAGTGTTCCATAATTTTTGACGTCACAATCACTAACGCTTAGATATGGGCTTTGGATACATTGTAACCATGTTCCCCATGTGGCGAAACATCACTGTCCATCGGCTAAATGCTTGATTGAAACATCAGCGCAACAGTTATTACAAGATGGAATTTTATAATTTCGCACATCCCAAAACGTGTCGTTGGAAGTGAAGTTTCAGTAAACAGAAAGGTTGGTGATGAGCACAGACAATTTCAAAAAACTAGGAAATGCAATATTTGTTTGTTGAGCATAGGAGCATTCCGACATGTTTTGTCTGCACAGTTAAAGTTGCAGTGCACAAGGAATACAATTTAAACGAGATGCTAAGCTATTATTGTAGAAAACCTGATGCGGCCCGGACTCATCCAGACTCTGCCCCAGCGGCCCCTGAGTAAATTGAGTTTGAGACCCCTGCTCTAATCTTTTCATTTTATTAACACATAAAAAGATATTCATAAGAGAATACTGACGTGATAGCTGTATGTTATTATGTGTAGCATGTTTTATCTACTCATGTAAATTCTGTCGAGAAAATACTCAAATTTCACAAGCTGTTGATAAATTAAAGATACTGTTTGTGACGGGCTATCTTGGATTCTATACTTTACTTTTGGCCTCTTAAATTACTGTATTAACTCTTTTTTGAGATCTACTGTAAATCTGATTGTCGTATCAGGTATTTATTGGACACGTTTAGTGGCCATAACGATCGTTTCAAAATTTTGTTGTTACTGTTATTTTCTTTCGTCATTATCATTAAAAAACCGCTTTTCTCTTCGAATACTGGACCAATCATTTCGAGTCGAGACAGCGTGGCGTGCGGATGTGCTTCTTCGAGTGGAATTTATTTGGATTGGGACGTACAGCAAGCAGGTGTTTACTTTTCATTTTTTGGATTTATCTAAACAGAACTCGGAATTTACTTAAAGAACCAAGGTAAATTGTTATTGCTAATAGGCATAAAATGCCATTATCGCAGCCGCCTAAAATTGATTGCGGCGAAGCCAATAGTTTGGAGCAATGCAAGGGATTGACATTTCTCAAAGAGAAAAAGCAAAAGATTCAATTGACTCTGAGATTTCATGTAAAAAACTTAATGATATGACACCAGGCAAAGCACCCTTGAAATCAATAAATTTGTGGTTCTGAAAGGTATTGAAAAACCTCTTCGTTCTTTTTAATCCAAATGTCATTCATAGAAATATATTAGGAAAAATCGGTCCATTTGTGGAAATTAAAGTATTGCATACCGGAAATCTAAAAATTGAATGCGCAAATGAAAAGCAAGTAAAAATTCTTCTAGAATGTGAAGACTTAGGAGACAGCAAAACAAAAATCCCAGTCAAAACAGAGCTATTTCAGAAAAAACAACCAGGTTCGTGTGTAATAAGTGACGTCTTGTGATGATTTGAGTGATCAAGAAATTCTTGAATCGCTGTCTGGACAGCACGTTGTTTATGTCAAGCGCTTGCAGATGAAAACAAATAATGGATTGGTTAAGAGTAGATTTGTACTTTTGCAGTTAAACACCCACATTTGCCTTCGACGGTAAAAATAGGATATCTAAACTTTCGAACGAGAATTTATAATCCTCCACCGACTCGTTGTTTTTAATTGCCACCGATACGGTCATTTAGCAAAATTCTGCAGAAGTGCTCTGCGCTGTGCACGATGTGGAGGACATCATAAATATGAAGCATGTGACAGTAGCATCAAATGCCCAAATTGCAGCGGAAATCACAATGCAGGATATGCGGGTTGCGCTAAATATAAAACGGAAACAAAAATTCAGGCGATTATGGCACAACAAAAAATAGCATATTCTGAAGCAAGAGTTATTGTTACATCACCACCAGCCCTTAGTTCAGAAGAATTTCCACAGTTGTCATCTCAAAATAGAAACAATCCTGCTACTAATAATGATTCAAATTTACCGAGTCCGAATCTTGTCAAAAATGCTGCAAACAAATCAATTCCTCGTCAAACGCCTTTATCTCAGCCACAAGAAAATTATGCATGTATTTCCCATACAGCATATAAATCGATGCCTATAACACAGCGACAAACGACCTCACAAATCAACTTTGAACCTATGCTCTTTATGGCTTTCATCGCTGAAGTTATTCAAAATACTATTGCTGCACAATCTAAAGGAGAGCAAGCAGATATTTTTCAGATAATATCATTGTCTGCAAAACATAAATTGAAATTTCCGATCGAAATAGAAAACTTAAAGGATTTAGTATGCCACGAATCTAATGTATAATAATAGCAAGTTGCTCATCATGCAGTGGAACTGTCGGGGTATTTATCGCAAAATAAACGAACTAAAGAAATATATAACGTCTATGAAACAAATGCCTGATTTAATTTTGCTTCAAGAGACTCATCTAATTGCGAAATATTCCCCTCGAATTAATGGATACAATTTGATAAGGAAAGACCGATCTTTATATGGCGGAGGTGTTTGTATATTTATTAGCAACAAGCTTTCATACGCGGAAAAACAATTAAATTCATTGGCGATGGAAATGCAGTGCATTGACGTCTGTGGATATAACATCGTCAATATATATATTTCACCGAGCAATTATATCGGAATCTGAAATGGCACGCGCCATCCCTTTCTCCAGAAACAAAACTTTAATTTTGGGAGATTTGAATAGCCACCACCATTCATGGGGAAGTAGAATTAACAATACCCGAGGTAACTATCTGGCAAATATAATCGATAGACACGATCTTGTGATACTCAACACACAACATCCAACAAGACTCAATACAGCTGTCAACTCGCATCCAGATCATCGATGGTCATTACTAGATCTATCTATAGCTTCTCCAGACATCGCACAACAATGTCATACAAATGTAACAAATGATTTTCTGGGAAGCGATCATTGTATTGTTACAACATCAGTGAACGTAAGAAATATTAAATCAGAACAATTTATAGCATCTTGGCGATTTAAAAAAGCTGACTGGTTAAAATTTTCAAACCTAATTTCATCATTAGTGCCTCGTATCACCAATACATTAGACATCGATAGCTTCAACAATAGTTTTACATCTGAGCTCATTCACGTGGCCAACAAATCAATTCCTAGATCTAAAGTTGGAATTATGAAAAGGTCAGTACCATGGTGGACAAATGACTGCGCAAAAGCCATTCGACTCAGAAAAGCCGCGTATATGAAAATGAAGAGGACATTTCACGAAATAGATATTATATACTTCAAAAAGATGAGAGCTAGTGCTCGGAAGATAATACTAGCAGCAAAACGAAATGTTGGCAAGAATTCTGCGACTCGATTAACTCGCCAACCCAATTTTCGAAAGTTTGGAAAATGGTACACGCGTTTACGAACTCGCCAAGAAATTACAATATTCCTACGCTTACGGATCCAAATGGTGCTTCTGTCACAAGTGATTATAATAAGGCAAATCTACTGGGGTCTACATTTCAAACCGTGAGCAGTACTGCAAATTATAAAAATCAGTTTTTGGATAGGAAACGAAAC